CCCCAGCCGTTATTGTGGCCCGACTTTTCCCGTTTGATGATCTCTTCCACCAACGCAGCTCAAGTGGACCACCCAGTCGGCTCGCAATTAGAACGCCACAAGGCGCCGGCCCGCCTCAAAAGAGAGGGAATGACAAGTGGACACCTGTCAATCTCTTTAATTAGCCATGATCTGAGCACGTCTGGGCCTCCCGTGTGCGCGCACAAAGGCCAACAAAAGGATTACGCCTTCCAATCCCCGACAAGCGCGCACTGGCCACTGCATTAGGGACGGATTACGCGCCGCTCGGCAACTAAACGCCCCTTTTCAATTTTCGACGCCGACTATTTGACTCAGCTCAAACAAAAACACAGAGGCGCTTTTTTTTTTTTTTTGGGGGGGGGGGGGGGGGTTCTGTTTGCAGATGTCCGCGATGTAGTCAACGCCGAACACAAACTGTTCCGAGATGAAGCCGCCGAGTCGCAACCGCTGCGCAGCGGGAGATTTGCAATTTGATCCGAAAACGAGTCACTGCAAATGTAACTTTGTTCGTCTATCTATGCCAGCGACATAGAGTGACAGCGCAGAAGAATGTCATGCTTTTTGACCGCGATGCCGGAATGTAACTTACCCGTTGCCATTCATAATACCGCATCTCCGTCTTTGCCGGCAACTAGCGGTGCAACAATCGACGACTCATCTATTATCTCTTAAATCAACAAACCTTTCAATCAGCGATTTATCCATTCTAGACATGAACTTAAAATGGTCCAAAACCTCGGAACTCCAGCCTCTCGACGGTAAATATTCTCAGACTACCGGATCCTAACGCTAAAGATAAATGCGCAAACGGCTAAAGGAGGCTACTAGCGATTGACGCTAGCCAGGTGGGCCGAGTGGTGGTTCGAGTGCAACACGGCACTTGACTAGTCGGGTTCAACCCTTTCATGCACCCTGATAATATGATTAGCTGTCCACTTTAGTTACCGCTGTCCCTCAAAAGGTTAAATCACAATAAAACATTTGCGAGACAATAAGCGCTATGGCTCGATAAAAGTTTGCAAAGGCAAACAGTTCATTCAACGCCAATTTAACCAAATATGCTCACATCCGCTGACCTTGCTGTAACATGGGGAAAGTGCAAAAGGACGCGATGGTCGAAAAGAATTGACTTGCATTTTCTCAGTGCGAGAGGGGCAGAGGTTGGGCGGAGTTGTTAGTTTGTCGCTTGAGCTCCACAATGGCCACCAGCAGAGCTCGAGCGCAGCTGCTCCGCGGACACAAGGCGGCGGGACGACCCGAGCACAAAGACCCACTGGCGGCCTCTCGGCGGGGGGTGGACGCGCCGTCAAAAGGGGGAAAACTTAACTTGGCTTTCAAGGCCCTTCAGACTGTTTGTGGAGGGAGACCCATAATGCTTTGCGGCAACATCCCCTCGCAAGTCAGCATGTGTCACTTCCGCGCCGGGGCACGTGGTCATTTTGTGATACTTTTCAATTTGACTTTAGCCAGTTAGCGGTTTCAAAATAGACCACGGTTTTAAAAGTCACCATTTTCAAACGGCTCAAACTTTCCATCGGTGGTGTTTTCGCTACACTGTGGAGGTTTGACACATCCGCGAATCGTCATGTGCGTCAGAAAGACGGAAAGCTCACAATTATCCGTCGTTGTCGCAAATGACACGTTATGGGTCAAAAGTACAAGCGGTATTGGTGAGCACTCCAGAGTAAAACCTTGTGCTAGCATCAATTTGAAAATGCTAATTGCTATCGAGCATCTCGACTTTATAACTGATTTACTTGTTCGATATTTACTCCAGAAGGTTCATCGGCTGATGTTGATCCAGAACGTCTCAATTATGTGACAGCAATGATGTAACGGGATCAGTCGTGTCTATCCACAACATTAAAAAAAATCTTAATACAGTGAAAGCGTTTTAAGTAGTGCCGCCATTTTGTGATGATCTTTGAAGTTTAAATCCCGCACCGTCACGAACTGAAACTCAATCATTAAACATTTATCGGGTGAAATGAGCTGGTAATGAAAAAAATATATATTACGCGGGGGTCTCACAGTGGCATTGGACATCCAAACAAAAAGTGTGAGGAGCCAAAAGAGGGTCATTTGCATCCTTCCGTGGAGAAGCAGCAGAGGAGCTGGCCATCCACCCCCCCCTACACACACTACAGGCTTCATCGACTTGCAAATTGGCACATCAAAGTCTGAGCGCGGTGGCGAGGATGGCGAGGTGATTAGGAGACACCGCGTGTGGCAACGTCGCCTGAACTTGTGAATGGGGCGCGGAGTCAGCGCAATTATTGCATCGAGTTATTTACTTCATTTCGTCGCCATTCGAAAGTGGCCGTCTTTAAGAGAGCGTGCATGTCAGAAGGAATCTTCCAGGGGTGGGGCGGGGTCAATGAAGCGCGTTGCGTATTAACCCTTTCAGGGACAGCGGTTACGAGAGTGGGCAGCCTATCATGTTATCAGGTTACATGGCGCATGAAAGGGTTAAACGAGCAATTGTTTGAAGGCTGGACTCACAAGTTAGCCTGTCAATGGCAGTTCTCTTTCTATGTTAGCATGAGGCTAGCAAGCTCATTAATTAAAATAAATATGGCTTGGTGGAACATTTTGTCGCTGAAATGTTTCATCTGTGTTTTGAGTGTCAGTTTCCCAGTAAAAACTTCACCTGGGAGTGACCAATCAAAAAGCTTGAGGCGAGCAACATTTTGCCTTTATTTGCAGAACAGGTACTGACAAACACTATTGAAAAGTGTTTCAAGAAGTTTCATTGAGTTCGACATGTTTAAATGTGTTCAAAGAATGTGGGACGGGTAAAAAAAAAAAAAAAAACGTTTACAATGATCTTGATAGGATCTTTTTTTTTTTTAACTTATTGCAGGTGTATTTTGCCATGGATATGTTGATGTAACTTTTGGAAGGAGGGCCGAAGCCTGCTTGGCATAACATTTTGGACCTAAACCCCAACTTGTGACTGTAGAGTGTGTGTGTGTGTGTGTGTACGTGTGTGTGTCTCTCTTACGTTGGAAGGCCTGATGATGGCCGGTGCGGGGTGAGCGGTAGTTTCCTTGCTGTTGGTAGTTGTTGGGCGGCGGGGCATTGCTGTACTGCCCACCATGTTGGTTTCTGAGCGAGTGACTGCAAGAAGAACGAGAGGATGTCAAACATGCTTTCTGCAGTCTGGCAAATTCATGCTCTACTTTGGGGGAGAATTTTTTTTTTTTGGGGGGTGCTCATCATGAATTCCAAACACGGCGCCTTCGGGGGTTGCCAGATGTTCAATTATTGCTGTTTCTTAATGATAATGTGGACGTGTGGAGGAGGAAGTGGAGCTCATAATCAAGCATGGCTGCTTAATGTCCAGTGTGGGTTGTGGGGGTGGACAAACATTTACACATTTTCAAAAGGGCTATACAGACGCATAGCAAAGCTCACACTGGCAACGTTTGACTGTGTAATGAATCCCTTTGCATTACATTTGGCATGTATGAGCACTTCAGGGAGGATTTGCGTAACTTAGCAGCGGTGCCATGTGACACAAGTCATTTCATATTTCACATTTGACCGATATTTCCAAGTGGTGTCCGTCAAGAAAAACTCACCCCAAAGCTCGGAAGCCTGACTGGTCCAAGTGAGCCTGCTGCCTGTTGGGGTTGAAGCCAAGCTGAGGTCTCCACGGCTGATTCTCTCGCCTATCCCAGTCCTCCGGCTTCAGCACGTTAGTGGGAAGCCTGAAGGCCACACACACAAAATCAAGACAGTGCATTGTCACACTAGGCAATAAAAGTACCAAAAGACACTGACTTTTCAATCGGAAATATTACATGTGAAAATGGTACTAACTTTGCTCCGGGAAGGAGAACAGCCTTGAACACAAAACCCTCGGCAAACTGGGGATCCTTGAACTTCACTCTGCAAGACAACACAATGGAACCAAATTTTGTTTTTAAGGAGTGGACTATCATACGTAATATAAAAACAAAAGACAATTAAACATTGTGTATTTCAGAAAAAACAGATACCCTTGCTGAGTCAAAGTTGGCTAGCTTCATGCTAAAGCATAATTGGATACGCCATGAAGAGGCTGATGAAACGAGCGCTGATATTGTGTTTTTATAAGCCTATAACTTAGATTTGAACACAAAGCGGAGGGACACATACAGACAGATGATATCACAGTGCACACGTGCATATATTCTTTATCCTCTGCATAGATGACAAACTGCCATGCCGCTTGTGACTGTCCCATAAAATCTGTTAGGTATCTCAATGTGTTATAATATCCCCTGGTGGCCAAGACGGGCACAACAGACAACGCAAAATTGATTGCATGGATGAAATCAGAACGCCCCGTTTCATTCTTTACAGTCCATGAAGTTTTGTGATGACTACGTTTCCGTAAAATGCAATTGTGCGCGGTGATATTTTTCTTGCGATAGAAGATGCTACAAAAAAATTTCTGGTGGTATTTTCTGAGGGGCTTGGACGGATTACAGGGATTTTGAGTCATGCCGATGGTGGTCAAGGCACCATTGTAATATTTTTAAAAATCGGCGCTGTACTGCAGCTGCACCAAGTCGAAGGCCAAGTAGTTCTCACCCGATGGCGCTGTTCTGCCCGATGTCACGCAGCATGGGGATGGGCGAGCTCACCGTCCTGAGGGACAACAAGGTCAAAGGCCAGTGAGCGTGCGAGTGGCTCAAGACAGGAGGACGGCTCGCCTTCTGACCGGGAATGTGCAGGAGGGAGCATGAGCAAGTGGTCCTTACTTATCTGGTAGGATAGGGTCGTCATCAAGAGATAATATACCTTGGATTCCATGGCAGAGCTCTGCAGGCACCTCAGTGGGCTGAAAGACAACGGCAACATCATCTGCCCTGTCGATGCGAGCGTCACACACACATTTTTTTTTTTTTTTAACCCAACATCTGCTGGCGTTACCTCATGACATTGTGCACGGTAGAGTTCCTGGATGAAGTCCGAGAGCGGGTGAGACTTGCCGACAAACACCAAGTCGCTTCCCAGACTGTTTCTTCTCACTGGAACGTCATCATTATTTGAATTGATTCCCCGTTGAATTAATTACAAAATACCACTTGATGTGCTTGCTATTAACCATTCTACGCGGATGATAAATAATATATGACCAAGGACTTTTATATTGTCTGCCGACATGTTACTGAACTATTAGTGGTCAATCGACTGCCTCAATGGTTGAAGCACAGCAATACGGATGCTAACAAGCAGTAGCATTAAGACAGCAGGGCTTTTCTTTTGGTAGTTGTTCACACAATGTGGAACTATATTTTGTTTAGTATGACAGTCAAGTTCAACTGGGAGTGGACTTAAACCGCTTAAAGCTTCTTTTTGTTGAACAGTTCACGATTTGCCTAATTTCTACTTATTGTCAAGTGTTGCGTTCATTGCCACCATACGCGCGCATATCACATCTACGCTCGCAAGTCAAAGCAAATCAATAAGTTGACGGCTCCTATTTAAAAAAAAAAAAAAAAAACTCTTCAGTCAAGTCGCTCGTTTCTTGAGCCACTACTCTATGTTGCACACATCCAATGTACTCTGAGAAAAAAATGGTCACACGCACAAAATCAACTCCGATGAATGGAAGTGGCTTCATAAGGATGAGAAAATGAGCGTTAAAGTGCGAGGTGATATAAGGGGCGCCAAAATGCGACTGACCTTCTTCGGACGTGAGGTCGGGATAGACGTCGGCCAGCGCGGCCCGCAGACGCCGCTCATCCACAAACGGCAACAAGGCCACGCCTTCAAGGAGGAAACAGAAGCGCACCGGGAAAAAAGAGTCAGCGGAGCTACACAATGAGCAGCCGGGAGGCGGGCGGCGGATGTCTCACCTTGCCATGCGTACTTTTTCCCGTTCAGGTCAATCGCAAAGTCGTCAGGGTAGAAGTCGATGATGGAAGAGTCCTGTGTCACAACAACACTTTCCTTATACACTGACTTACAAAATAGAGGCGCTCCATCAGTTTTCATTCTTTTTACAATTCAACTCATTTAAAAGGAACTTGATAGAAACATCTGTGTGAATGATCAATAAATGACAACAAATATTTTGCCTACACTTCTATATGGGCACCATCCTGAAACAGTACATAGTGGGAGCTCGATTTAATTGGTTTGTGACAAAGCCTGTAAAAAAAAAGAAGATGAGAATGAAAAGAAACTAGTTTTATCAAATGTAATTATGTAAAGTATGATTGTATGTGTGGGTGTGTTCCTTCAAGGGGTGTGGCCTAGTGAACTATATCAGGAGCAGTGTATTTTGCATGTGGGTGATTGCCTGTTTGTCCCGGCAAACTGTGGCTCTCCTTGCCCACATGCCAGGGCATTACAGTCCCTTAACTGCTCTTTTTTTTTTCATCTGTGCGAATTCTAAATCATCATCTAAAATCCAAAGCAAAAAAAAAAAAACCAAAAAAAAACTGTGAATGACAGCCGAGGTCTCTACTATTTTTTTGTGCATAGCCAATGTCTTCTCATTGAAAATATACGCTCAAATTTTCCCTTTTTTTTTTTTTAAAAAGAAACTGAATTTTGGTTTTTCTGTATTTTGTGGCCATATAAAGCATCAACAAAAAATACAAATCCTTGACTATGCCATGGAATTAAAATGTTTGATGAGCACGGAGTCCTTTCAATAAATCTGCTTTCATTGTCATCCGTTGCTGTACACCTTTCTCGAAATGAAAAGAGACTTTGCGGAAACGTGCAGGACACACTCACCGGACTCATCATCAAGTTCCGCCACGTTTCTGGCAGGAAGTTGCCGCTGGCGGCAGGAAACACCCCCATCAGCTGCTCCAGGGGCTTGAACTGTGCATAGGCGCAAGCAAATTCAGATTGGCTTCATCCGGGCGTCATTAATCAACGTTTCGCTTACCGGCTTGGTTCCTCTCTCAAAGTCACTGAACATTCCTTGAATGTCCTGGAAGTCTGAAGCGAAGGGGGCGTAGTGAAAGGGGAAGTACCACTTCCAAGAGGCGCAGCCCTGCAAGCATATCGACGGGTCGAAAAGTGGGCACACACAAACATTCCCGCTTCACGTTTTCAACCGCGTTTTGCATATTTACATTGGCTTTTGTCAAACATTTAACGAAAACCCCACGGAGATGCAAAAAAGCGTTTATGAAGCACAAAGATAACGAGTTCAATTGAGTTCTCTGCCAACACTCCCCCCGCCCTACCCTTCTTATTTTAGGATGTGAAAGAAAGCGTGTCAAATTGCAGCTCTCAAATGGCGGCAGCCCGTTTGAGCTCCCCGCAATAGACGTAAAACAAATAGAGGGTCCTCATCAAAAGTGATTTCGGGAGCAAAGTGTGAAACACGTCTTCAGCGTTTTTGGCTGAAGCCCTCGTTCCCCTCCTTCCTCCCCCGCGCGGGTCACTTGGCGATCCGCACGTGACGCTAACGCCGTTGGCGGTGGCACCGTGAATGCGCGGCGGCGCCGCGCAGACACGTCCCGTCTGCCGAGGACCTTTTAATCAATTCAGAGCGGCCCGCTGAGACCAGCATTAGATTGCTGAGCATGTGGAGAACCGCCCCCCCCATACCCCTGATTCTCCTCACCCTCCCTCCCCAGGCTGATCCACCTCTGCGCAAGGAAAGAGGGCGCCACTTACGACTTTTTGACATTTGAAAACACTTGTCACTTTAAGAAATCTTGATTGAGGGATACCCTATTCCGAACCAAATGGAAGTTTGTCGGCGGGGAGGCGGGTGCAGCGTCTCACCTGATAGTAGTAGCGCAGCACCCAGCACAGGCCCTCCACGTACGACTGGACCACCTTCTGCTTGAAGCCTTCGTCAGAAACGTCCACGTCAAATTTGGTCTTGTAGTAGCGCTGCTTCCAGCCGTCCTCCCACAACCTGCCAACGGCGCGTCAATCAAATGGCTTCCATTCTAAGATGCCTCCACTTCCTGCGTGACCGGAATTCTTTTAGCGCTTTTTGACACCTTGGGAAATTCAAATAATGGAGGCCGCGCGGCATCTGTGCCACCGCAGAGGGCCGGCGCGGCCTGCCGGGAGCGCCGCCTCCTGAAGGGCGAACGCTCCATGAATACCAAATCATTCCGGCGGATTTAGGAGATTTATTAAGCACGTCACACAGGAATTGACTGCTTTCCATTTTAATTGTGTGTGTGTATATAGACTCCTGTCTGCTACTTCAACAGTCAAGTGTTCCGTTGACTCGGCATGCCGACCCACTGCACCTACCTGACGTTGTCTTCCGGTTCGGGCTCGTCGTCGCTGTCTGCTTTCCTCTTCACGCCGCGGCTGTTGCCGTCGTCGCTGGGGCCTGGAAACTGCTGACGCCACAAATCAGCACAACAAATAAACAGTCATTGATGACTATTCACTCGTCTTACAACACTACTGAGCCCATCAAAGACTGGGCCACATGAACTAAAAAATAACCTGATTTGTTTTCTGACTGCTGATTTGAAATCCCCTCCCCCTTGGCTAATATGAAAATATACATAAAAAGAAAGAAAAAAAAATGGTTGCATCCATTTCCAAAGCTAGCTACAATGACGGCAAACACAATAGGATGCAGTAAACTGGACAACGGTCTTGAGGGGTCATTGTCTCCCCTCATCCCAAGATGGGCCCGGCTCATTGAAAAGAAAAAGGTGCAGAGCTCCCACCAAATACGACGACAGTGTAAAGCGACGTTGTATTTTTTTGGTATCTTTAGTTTTCATTTGTTGCTGCCAGTCCGTCAAAAATATGCTTTTCCTTGACACTTGTTAACAACGCGTGTTCATTCCAGCACATTTCAAACTCACGTTGCCGCCGCCCCCGTTCCTCATCATGGCCTTCAGGGACTGAGCAGCATCCTGAACAAGAACACACACACACACACACACACACACACACACACACTGAAAACACGCAGCAAGGAGGGAGACTCAAGTGAGTTTGTGAGTTTTGAGGACACACCCTATTGGACTGCATCCTCATGCCGTAGGCTTGGTGGCGAGCGTTCTCCACGGCGTCTGGCTGGAGTCCTCTGCCCAACGCGTGAGGGGCAAACTGGCCCCCGGTGAGGTAGGCGGGGCCTTGCTGCTCCCTCTGTGCTCAGTTAAAAAAAAAAAAAAAAAAACAAAGTTGGAATATTGTCCTGATGACTGAGTCCAAGTCACTTACCTTCATCCTTTGTCGTTTCTCTTTCATCCTTCTCTTAAAGCTCTCCTAAAAGAAAGGAGGAAAAAAATGTTTGAATCAACCCGATCGCTTCAGTGTGACTTGTCACGTTTTTAAAGTTGAAAACACGTCTTGCATCGTCTTCTCTGCGCTTTTTGAAGATGTTGTCCTCGGCCACGCCCACGGCCTGCATGATCATCTCGACGCGCGCCAGGTTGACGAAGCCGTTCTCCGTCAGGTAGCCCTACACGCACACACGCAGCTGTCACCAGAGCCCCGCAATTTGTCGACATTTCCCAGCATGCACGGCAGCCAGGAGGCCATACTCCCGGCTGGGACCATCCTTACTCCGGTTTTGTGCACCACATCTTTGTAGATCCGGACCAGGCGATCTATCGCCCCCTCTCTGGAAGGTGATGGAACAGCACCAAGTATGAAATTAATTGTGACTTTTGGATTTTCACGCACACAGACGGATTACGAGAACGGCAGCTGTGACCTGATTTCCAAGGACGGCAGGTGAGGGAGGAAGTCGTTTCCGACAAAGAAACACATGAACACCCAGTCGTCGATGCTCCTCTCAAAGTCAAATGGGAAGGGCAGACTGGCCATGGTCAACTCTCGAGCAAGATACTGAAACGTAACGCAGCGCCGTTAACGTGGAACTGTGATCGAAACACACACCAACAACCAAGATAACAGCAAAACACACAAATAAAGCTAAATGGGTCCATTTAAATGCCCCCCCCCCCCACACACACACACACAAACACACACTCGGGGTGAAGCTCACAAATATTTTTGCATTAAAAATACAATCTGGATTTTTTTGTTATTTTTGTCCACTTGGGGTTGCCAACCTCAAAGTGGACTGTTTTAGCAGTGACTTTTTAGTGTGTATGGCTTTAAAAGGCGGAGCCCGGTCTGGTGAATGATATGGGTGTCAGCCAACGATAGTGCAGTTGGCTGGCTGTTCAGTCCGAGTGTTGAGTTTCTCTGAGTCAGTTGTGGCAACTGGCGAGCGAATGCGCTTCTTACGATTTGGTTCGATATGTTCTAACTGGCCAGGTAAGCCGACACAACATTAACTAACCACTAATATGTTTCCAAAGTGTCTTGCCGACTGCAGACTTGACCTCAACCTTTCTTTGAAATTGAATTATTCAAATTGTTGCAGCCTGAATCAAACACACACACACTGACAACGTTACCTCTCTGAGCACACACAGCCTGATGAAGATGAACTCCTGCTCAGACACTGGCATGGCGTCCGCAAATTCATCGTGCTGGAAGAGCAACAAGTCAACAGCCTGGCTTTTAATTTGGAGGTCTTCCTGATGGCATGGAGATGGGTCAGGCGTGATCTGACCTGGCCTCGCTTCTCTCGGGCGACGCCCTGACACTCTTTGATCTCGTGGCCCATTTGACCGCAGAGAGCGCACGGCCGCGGCTTGTTGGGTTTGAACTCCTCCCGAATGATGGTGAAGTTGGGCTCGTGCGTGGCCAAGCCCAGCATGATGAGGTCCGCTGATTTTTGCCGCCGTGCAGAGACAAAGACACAGATATTAATTAAAAAAAAAAAAAAAAAAAGAATGTCCTACTGATGGGAAGTTGTTTTGACTCTCCCCCGCCACCCCACTTTTTTTCCCCCAATGTGTGTTGTAAGCTGACCGTCAGCACCACACAGGCAGTGATGTGTGTTGGGGTCGTGGTTGGGCTGAGCTGCGGACGACAGAGAAAATATTTGCCATGAGCGCAAAACACAAAGCCTACATTGAGGAGACTGTTTTTTGCATTCAAGTGGGCGCAATCAAAGTTTTAATTTTTGGCACAGACGAACGAGGCAGGAATGAATTGAGGAGATTCATTCATTTTGAGAAAAGTGAGCTTTGCCGCAATCTTGGTTCCAAGGAACTACTAGATGTAAAGGAGGAATGTCGGCGCCATTTGACTGTCGGTGCCGGACAGCCCCAGAGGGCGCTTGTGTTTTTTGCGCCTGTAAAGGGCAACATTTTTCACAGCTCCGTTTTGTTCAGCGGAGATGGCGGCGCAATTGGACAGTCTGCATTGGTGCGGCTGGACGGATGGAACCGAGGATGAAGAGAGAGGAGCGTCGGCGCGGTCCCCGGATGCGTATTTGGAACTGAGAGTCGCCGCTTAGAACTGAAGCGGATTTACATGGGACGGGAAAGGTGAACCAATCGCTTTTTTCCGTCACTGGACGCTACAGCTTCTTGTTGACTTTCAAATTTAGCTTGTCGCAGATGTGTGGACATTTTGAACATGACGTCTCTGATCCAGAGAAAGACAATTTGATTCTCTCCTCGTTCATCTCGAACTGCTTCAAACAACAAAGCGTACAAGTGAAAAGTGGTTGGACGATTGTCCGTGTTTTGATGGTATGTGTTGTGTTTGTTATTTTATTTTATGTTGACTGTTTTTTTTAAAGAGCTTTGTTACAGCTGCAGCTGTCGTGAAAACACTATATAAATCAGGATGTATTGTGTTGTAAATTGAGTTGAGGAGTTTCATTTTGAAAAAAAGTAATGCGTTGCCACGATCTTGCTGCATCTTCTGGCAATGGCAATATTTTTCAGGATATTTTTAAGAATAATTTTAGAATAATTTAGTCATCTTAACCGTTTCATGCACCCTGTAACCTGATAGCATGATAAGCTATTCACTATAGTGACCGATGTACCTGAAAGGGTTAATTATAATTTTTTAAAAACGTATGTACCCAGATGCAATTTGGAATTAAAACGTTGCCTCACAATGTTATGACTTCCAAAAAAAAAAAAAAATTCTAATAATATATATATATTTTTTTTAATTGAGAAAACGCCACTCTACTGTACAAACAAAAGTATTTGGACACGGCACTCCTGAGACAAGTGGAAGCTGTTTTCTCCCCTTCGCTCGGTGTCACAGTACTTTTGTCCATATTCATCACAATCATTGGTAGAACATGTAAAAAGTGTGTCTGAACACGAGAGCGAGCGGCAAACCTCTTTGTCTCCTGATGTAGTCCATGATCTTATGTTCGCCTTCGCCCGGAACGCTGGCGTCAGACAGGAAGACCTTCAAAGCGAAAGGTTCGTTCGTGACGACGTGGACTCAACGTACACTCATGAGATCACATTTAGCAGTGGAGACGGGCTCACCGTGATGTTTCGCCATCCCGGGTCGTTGCTGAGCCTGTCGGCGACGTAGTAGCGAAGACAACGAGCCAGGTTGTCCATGAACTCTGTTCCCTAGAGACACACGAGAGACCTTACTTAAAAAAAAAAAAAAAGAACTGACAAACCTGCTCTTGATACTCACAGAATGCGCTACACAACAGTTGCTGAGGCCTTTAACTTGACATTTTTGTTACTTCAGCTGCACTTTTGTAATAAGTTTTGGTTGCCTCAAAAAATGTGAATTTTAAAACATTGTACTTTCTGTATTTATTGTCAAAGCTTTGATCGATATCGCAGTGATAATGAGAGGACATTTAATTATTTAGTCCGCACGGTCAATTATAGTGCACCCCCTACCCCAAAAAATTTTAAAGTTTTTTTTCCCCCCAATCAACTTACTGGCGTGATGCAGTTGCTGTCGAACCTCTCTTTAATCTCCTCAGGTGGCAGGTAACCTCCTGTGTGAGAGACACGCACGTCACATGTCGCGATTGTCTGATGCGCTTTCCTGTGGTGCGGGGGGAACACACACACCGACCTCTCTGGATGACTTCCTCGCGCATGCGAGTCTTCTCCTCGGTGAGCTCCATGCCTTCTTTGGAGGCGCGGAAGCGGCGAGAGCGTTGCTGGTTCATTTTGGCCCGCGGAGCCTGGTCGCGAGTTCAACAGTGGGATCATTCGGTTCAGCAGTGGGTTCATTCAGTTCGAGCAGAAAACGTTGCGCCCCGTCAGAGTCACTTACCACACCGTCGATGGCCATGTACAAAACTCTTCTTGGACGCACAATATTGAACAGACGGTCGATGTACTCAAAGATGGCCACCATCATCTCATCCTCGTTTTTGGGCGCCGGTCTGTGCAAACATCAAAAGAGACGTTACGACAAAAACTGGACAAGTGGGAGGAGCTACGGAACAACCCCTAACGCTTATTGTAATTTTTACATTTAAGAGGAACAATTTCTATCAATGGCAAAATTACAAGTGGTCGCCACTGGTTAGCACATTGTGGTGCCCCCTCTCCAGAAACCGGCATCCTCTTTTCAAAATTCTTTGCGCTTGACTCCAGACTGTCTTTTCAGGGAATCTTGTCACATTGCACCACAATAAATAAATAAAAAAAAAATAAAATAGAATAAAATAAAAACACTTCATACTTGTCCTCTGGATGTGTGCAAGGGTGTATGATGCCGTTCATGTCCAAATATAAATTGTCAAACTCCACCTCATTGGGGTTTGCCTTGGTTGTGTCGACAGGGATGCGAACTCCATTGCACTCCCTACCCTGGAAGACACAAACATGATTATTATGAAATCACAAAAGAGGCAATGAACCTCAGGGGTTATGACAAAAACACATCCTCTGATGCTGATTCGCGTTAGATTCCTTGCAAATTAGGCTTTAAATCTCAAATACATTTTAAAGTTGGAGAAATGTGTCTTCTATTTTACACTTGATTTCAGGTATGGTACAACACTGGCGAAAACCACACTAGTTCTGATATGTTTCGGAGCAAATTAAGGCAGCTGCGCTGTTGTTCAACCTCCGAATAAAAGTAAAAAAAAAAAAAAAATCTGAACTGACTTGGTTAATATTTGGACAACTTGGAGCATTGGAGCCAAAGTGAAAGTAAAACCTAATCTCCCGGGAATGCTGAAGCGTGCTCCAGGTACTTTCGTTTCCAATAAATTCGCCACCCGTCCCGTAAAACACGTCCTCAGCCTATGTCTGGTGCGTTCTCCTCTGCTCTGTACCAAATCCCGCACAGAGGCAGCTCAGCCCCTTTGCGTTGCTTGTCATGATCATTATGAAAGTAATCTTTATTAGAGTAAAAAAAGTGTCCCCAGACAGGATTTGTTACAGCACTCTATAGTGTATGCATGCAAGTTCAGCCTTCAACATGTACACACACACACACACACACACACACACACACACACACACACACAAGTTTCAGGCTACTTCAGTCTATAAAAAAAAAAATAATAATAATAATTGCTTAGAAAGCACTTTCAATTTTAAGTACGTCTCAATGTTTTCTTAACGTTCTCCTTCATTACTGACCACGAAGTGACGCCAGGGACCAGGGGCTAATATGACAGGTTAGATCATGTCAAAGCATTTTGTTTTTTTTCATATTAAAAAAAAATACACGTGATTCGATGCGTTTTTCTTGGTCGTGGGGAGCCAAACTCTCAAATTTCTTTCGCCGCGTGGTTTTCCCGCGACGCCGTGAGGAGTTTCGCTTATTTCCAGATCTGAAACGTGCCAACCCTAGTTAACATCTCAGTCGGATTCCATTCAAAACAATCTTTATACAAACTTGGACTTGCTCCGCAAATGTGTCTTTAGTTTTGCACACTGTGATGCTACTATGCTAAACGCTTACCTTCTCCTCCACACAATGTACAATAATGGAGGGATATTTACGACTCAGCCAACGGAAAAATGCCGGGACTCCCATCTCTGCTAAAGTATCACTTTCCCCGCAATAAAAAACGTACAAACGGCAACGAAATTCCCTAAAAACGTTAACTAAAACACGAACATTCCAAACTAATCGAGTGTGAAATTTATCAAGCTCGTCTATACATGCTTGTCGGAAATCGTGTACTTTTTCCGGGTCACGCTGTTGACTACTTCCGGGGAATTCTCGGAGACGCTTCACGGTGCTGCCATAGCGACGGAGCCGGCCAAAAGCGGTATTGCAAAATGGTCTGACGCTATGACTTCTTCGTTTCGATAACCAAGCAAGACACAAACTATCTGTTATCTGAAACGCACAAAATTGAATACATTTTATTTTACCACCAAAATTTTTTTGACAGAGCAACAAATATTCAATGTGACAAAAGTATGTACCAAGTCTAATTGCAGCCAAATAAATGAATGAAAGAATGAATGACATTTTGGAAAAAAATATGCATATGACACTTGTAGTACTTGACTTTTGGGACAATCGTAATTGTTTGGCCTTTCCACGCAGGGCGGATTCATTCAAAGGATGGAAAGCACTTGTCCTGCTCCGGTGGGCAGTGACGAATGGGCCTGAGTGGTGAGCACGTTTGCCTCACGGTCAATGTCTGACAAAGGACGGACCACTGACGTTGTCCTTGAACTGCAACGAAACATATGTGAAGGGATGGTGGCCGGATGCTGTGAAGTGTAATGCCGCCATCTTGTGTTAGCGGTCTGAACTGCATGTGTATTTTCAATTTTGCATTGACAGTACAGTACACGTATTTCAAGAGCCAAATGTTTGACACTGAACAAAGTAACTATTTTTTTTTGCCGATTGCAACACACTGGCAGGTGTTTCTATCAGTTTCAACCCCGAAAAAGCAAATCACACATAATGTGAAACTGATGGTTGGCAACCCAGCTGGATGGATGGCATAAAAAAAGGAAAATGGTCATTTAAGAAACAACACATGGCCTTCAGATCATTTCAAAGGCAGCAACTCTCCATGGAGGCAAAGCAGCAGGAGGCTGGTGGGGGACACATTTCACACAAAGCTGCCGCTTAAGTATTCATACAACATTTAATCTTATTTAAGCTCAAACACACACACACACACACACACACACACACACACACACACACACACACACACACACACACACAAGCCGAACATGGACTATTTTTCTTGGTTTTCTTTCATGAGTCCGCCCCTTCAGTTGAGACATGAAAAGCTCAGCAGGAAGTCACATGGTGTCATGCGGGCCTCAGCGCGTCTTCACATCTGAGACTCTTTCACACGCTTTCTATTGTCACACACACGCACGCACACACACAGATGAACGTCTACCTTCAGTTGGTCATTAGGATCGCTACATGTATCCTTCTTATTGGATCTACAGTATTAAAGTCCCATAAATAGCAATATTTCAGCGAAAGAAAAGATGACTTCGTAAAGCCAAATAAGAAGTTCACATTGCAACTCCTCTATGCGCCTTTCGAGATGGAAAGGGCGCGAGCTTCGAAAGCTGTCAATTATTCAATTGTCTTTGGGCAGATGAAGATCAGGCAGGTCAACCAATCCAATTGGCAGTTTGCAGTTCCCAATAAATAAAAAAATACAGGCGTAGGATGAACAGCTTTTTGATTCAAAATCACAAGCGGCCTGTCAACTGGCCTCAAACTGATTTGAAAACATTCTGCACAGCACGGAATCCGACGTGAATGGGTATAGCGATTATTTTAGTCTTTACTAAGGTTGTCACTATCACGTTTTTTTTGTTTGTTTTTTTTTACCCCAAGTTTCTGCCTCTTGATTTGACATATCTGCCAATATGGCACGGGTGTCAAACTCAAGGCCCGGGGGCCAGATCTGGCCAGCCACATAATTTTATTTGGCCCACGAAAGCAAATCAAACATGTCAGCTTCCATGATGCTTGTTAAAATCTCTACCAAAATTTTGAATTCTCATATTTAATAAATTAGAGACATATTGTAAGCATTTTCTTGTGACCAAACCCCTCATTACATTAACTTAAACACTAATTGAATGAACCGTTATTATTTTGTTTTTTTATATGGTTTCAGTCATAACGGGCCTCCAAAGGAAACGGTCACTAAAATGTGGCCCACGACAAAAATGAGTTTGACACCCCTGCAATATGGTTTGGGTACTTTGTGGTGGCAGAAAAGTCATTGGCTCCCGCGAGAACTGAGCTGAAAACAGGCAGGTGCAGAAATCGGTGGCGATTCCAGTTGGCTTTCAGAATCAAAATCGCTTTGTCATTGTACCACAGAATGCAAAAAATTGCAACAGACGTAACCTGTCCGAAAAACATAGAAAAAAGAATGTCCAATAAGGGGGAGAAACATGAAATCGCAGATGAAAAAAAAATAAAGGAGTTGGAGAGAGAAAAAAAAAACAACTCCAGACTGAGCTCCTATAAGGGCAAAACAGTATATATTTGGAAAAATGAAATGCATGTGGAAAGTGTGGCAGGGCGACATTTTAAGAAGGCTTACTTTGCTCCTGAAACCTGGCGTTTCGAGCCATCAAATGATGCGGAGCAAACTTCAGAATCAAATTTATTGAAGTACTCAGAGGTTATTTAAGTGGTCGCCAGTGGACAAAATTAACAACTGTGACTTTTATGGAAAAACTGCAGTGAATGTATTCTCTCTATATTTGTTTGACGCCCCTGGTTTTAAGCACATGCAAGGGGCAGACTTTCTACTAGTGGTTTACAAATATGGAACAAATAAAGTTGTTATTATGAGTGAGAAGGTGTTCAATGCCATCATGTCCTTTGACCTTAAAGGTGTCGACTTCCACTTCCCGTGATGACCTTCAAAAGTGACCATGCAGCACCTCAATCGTGATCTTGTGTACAGCAAAAGAAACTTGTGACAGCCGCGCTGAGTCGCCGTCGGCGAGCGTTTTGAAATGGCACCGCTCGCCATTAGCCGCTGCATCAAAGCTCGGCCGGCTGTCGGCGGGTGGGCCGAGGTTCGGCGTAGGCCCACCGCTGCTACCGTCTCGGCAGCCGTCATTGTCGCCTCTTATCTCTGCTGAGCGAGCTGGAGGCTTTTTAGCGGCTCATTTACAAACGAGCTGGGTTGGTCTCGTTAGAGGCCAGGCGGAGAGGGGGCGGATGGACGCCTAGCATGCTCATTACGTGAAAACATGATGGCAGGGGAGGGCCAAGGACATAAAAAAGGGGCTTCTTTGAGGACACACCACCCACCCCGTAAAGGCACACACACTCTTACAGGCAGGCACACGCACGCTAACTTGACATGGAAAGAAAACAAGGAACATGAAGACTGAAGCATGACTGCATGACTAGAAACTAACACACACACACACACACACACACACACACACACACACACACACACACACACACACACACACACACACTCCTAGGTGATTTCAATATTTGTAAGAATAAGAAAATGCATGTTAAAATTCTCAACTTAAAGATATAAATGTAATTACAAAAAAATGCAAGAGATAATAAAATAAAAAATATTGAAAAAAGTGTCACATATTGGCGTGTTTATAACATATAAAATATGAATGTGTCTTTGTTGTTTAACTCTTATCTGATACACAATTGTTATAATAATAATGCATCCATTTCTAAGAAAGACTTGATCTTCACAATTTCGTCATTGTTGTACGAAAATAATAAGAGACAGGCAGATAAAAACATATTTTTAAAAAACGGAATTGAAATATCAACGTGCCTTTTCAAATCAAGCCACATTAAAATCAAATTGAAGTGCAGTTAATAGGTCAGTTAAGTTCAACTGTGAAGTAATGCTGCTACCTGTTGTCTCAAAATGGAACTGCAGCACAGTGCTTCCGTTGAGCTTGGACTGGAGAATTGTAGTTAGCGTCATCAAGACCCTAAAAAAATCATTCTTGATGGACATGTTATGTTAATTAGGACATGTAAGGGACTATTCGGTGGTAACTATTAGGGCTGGGATAACACCCATGATTCGGTTCGTTCGTATAAATCGTTGGGGCACGGAAAATTATGCTGATTTACGTTATATGAACTTATTATACACTAACACAGTGGTTCTTAAACTAGTTTCGATCGAACCCCAGGAATTCGGTGAATCAATCTCAGGGGTTCGACGGAAACTCAGCCAAGGAGGTTAAAACAGTAAAAACACACCCGACTCACATGTCAATTAGTTATGACACGCCCGCTTGGCCATGACTGGTTGCAAATGATCACAAAACATTGCTTGGCCAATCAGTGCAGTGGGAAATTTTGTTCGCTCAGTAGTAAACGTGACTGTCGTGATAGTACGTCGTGTGATTTAAAAAAAGAAAAATGTTTTCATACATGCGAACTATGTTGAACAAAAAAAAGAAAGAAAGTGGTCGGACGAATATGTACAACACGGATTAACATGCATCACGGACCGTGATGGGACTCACGGTCACTTGAGCAATTCTAGTCTCGAACCGGCAAAACTGAAGAGACAATTCTTGAAACTCCATGATTTATTTTTGTTCATTTTATATACGATTCAAAAAACGCATGTCTTGAAATTTTTAAATATTTTTCAGTTTTTAATGAATGCGGTTTTTATGTCTTGAATGTGTAAAAATAAAATATTTTTTAACTAATTAAGGGTTCGATGAATGTGCATATGAACTGGTTGGATTCGGTACCTCTTAACAAGTTTAAGAACCACTGTATTACACAAGTGTCGAAATTGTAAATGAGTCGCATTTTCTCTTGTAGTTTGTCCAAAGTCAGCACGCGAGCTTCCGTAGTTAGCAAAGAGCTTTGGTGCAGCGTGTTAGGTTTCTTTTAGCTTGTCCATTTGACCCGACGAAGCTCTTCAGCTTTCCAACGAAACTGGAGGCTTTTTTTTTACTAGCCCAGACAGGTTCATTTTCTGATGCTTATTTGGTCCTTTTGTCGGCACCGCGAGGTGAGTTTAATTCACTTGACACAAAAAGCCGGAATGAATGCCGCGACGCAACTTCATCAAAAATGTCATCAACTTTTGAGTCAAGCAACGGTGAGCTACAGTTCCAAATCAAATATACTCACACTGTGTGAAATGTGGAATTTATAGGATGTCTTCAAAACCTTTCGCATCTTTGGCCAAAAAGTGGATGAAAGGCATCATTGTCATTGAACTACTTGGCGTTTTTGGTGCATATGCACTCTTCCACGCCATGAACACGAGCCAAGGTGTGGACACGCACGCACACGCACAAATAATCAATGCTAGTCTGTAGAAAATCACAGAGCATGTTATTCCTCCATAAATATAGAACATCAATGACTTAAGAGTTTAAATCCACATTTCCGTATCAGTCTTTCATCCTCGTTCTGTTCTACAAGTTGATGGATTTTTTATTTTATTTTTTAGATTTCAGGAGCACAATGAAGAAAAGATTTCCATCCATTCTGGAAGGTAAGAAAATACATGATGCCTTTCGGTCCCGAAGACATCGGCAGCAGTCGTTCGTAGACAGAAAATGATGTCATATCAGCTCACACACTTCCTGTTGGGATCCAATCAATTACGTTTTCTCCTGTCGATAGTTTACTATAAGTCCAACGAGCTGGCGGGCGAGTACGGTGTGCGGCAGAGGGATCAACTGGACTGGGCGACCGACGCCGGTGGCCGCTGACGGCTACTTCCTCTTCCTCTTGTTGCCCATCATGACCGTCGTTGTCTTGACGCCGCGTCCGAAGCGCTTCCTCTTGTTGAAGGCGGCCTTCTTCCTGCGCAGCGTCTTGGCATCCCGGTCGTGGATCCAGTCGTCGCGTTGGCTCTCCCACTTTAGCTGCTTCACGCCTGCACACCAAGCCGCCACAAATTTCGTGATAAACTTCCCGACACGAGGACAATTTGGGGTCACTACTACTCTGAAGTTCATTTTTACGGGACGAGGACCTTGAAAGTAAAACTTATTGTCAACTGGAGGCACTACCGTAGAGTACAATAATCCAGACTCAAACTAAAAAGACGACGACTACTACTCGTCGTACAGTTGAAACTCGTTTCAACGTACCCCGAGGGACATAACTAATCTGTACGTTATAAAGCTAGTTTGTTAGCGTTATAACGCTGCCTTCACAGACAGCAAGATGTTTTCAGACCATGTGCTCAGGACGGCGCCGTGCCTCCGCGAGTTACGGCAGGAAGTACAACAACATATCGAGTCGATCAGTAGCGTTGCTAAGCAACGGAGGGGAATCCCGCGCTCTACATTTGGTTCATAAGCAAGGTCGCGGCGGCAGTTAGCTTCCCTTGGTTCGTTGTAAAGAAGGCCTTTTCGCTATTTTCTGGGAGAAATCTGGTCGATATAAAGGTGTTCGTTGGAAGCAAAATCGGCAAATGGATCATGAATTACGTGAAATCGGGACTTGTGAATTGTGAACGTTATGGGGGCGGAAATGTAAATGGGGTAATGTTGAAATGAGGTTCGACTGTATTCCGTAATTTGCTGTCATATTACTCATTTTGTGCAGAGGATAAAAAATATATGCCGGTGAATATTGTTATATTGTCTGCGTTGTGCCAGTCATTTATTCCCAGCGACTTTCGAACCCTTAACCCACATTGAGCTGCACGGGTGTGCAGCAGACGACTTACCAGCAGCGTTGCAATTTACGTAAAAAAAATAAATTAAATAAATAAATAAATAAAATATCAGAAGTTATATAAGGTTGTTGAGTTTGGATTTTTTCGCGGAGTGCTGAAGGGCCAATAAAGCTCCAGTTTGAAATTCTTCTCAATGATTTTCGGGTTGCGCCTTTAATTGTTACCTGCTTTGTCGGTGTTGGCCATGGCGTTTAGTCCGATGTTGTCAATCTTGGCGCCGGCGTTGTCGTCCAGCAGGCCACAAAACTTCATCCCCAAAAGAAAAAAAAAAAACTTATTGATGCAAGAAGCTGTGATGATTTTTGTGTGTGTGTGTGTGTGAGACCTCTGACCTCCTGGGCCATTGCAAACATGGCTGCTCCTTTTTCACCTTTCTTTTTCTTCTTTCCCGCTTTGGAGGCTGGCGGGAAGACGCAGAAACGAGGACGCAAGGTGACATCAACCGTTAAAATCGTTTCCAAAGTCGTCAAATGAGAACAAACCAAAACTCTGTGAGAAGTCCAGCTCCATTTGGCTCGACTTCCTTTTGACTTTCTTGGAGGGCGGCGTCACATCTGGAACCTCATCTTCATCTGAGGAAGAGGAGGAGACGACGACGCGTTGGAAGACATCGGCCTTTTGGAAAGCGGCGGCGGGCAAACCTCTGTGCTCACTTGGAATGAGCGGCAAATATTTGTGGATTTTTGCGACTGGTGGCCGGTTATATGCGAAATATTTCATTTCAATCTCAACTGTTTCTTATTTTACGATTCACATTAAGGGCAGCCCGGTGGTCGACTGGTTAGTGCCTCGGCCTCACAGTGCAGAGGTTGTGGGTTCGATCCTGTGCGGGTTTTCTCCGGGTATTCCGGTTTCCTCCCACATTCCCAGGTTAATGGAACACTCCAAATTGTCCCGAGGTGTGATTGTGAGTGTCTATGTGTGCCCTGCGATTGGCTGGCAACCAGTTCAGGAAGTCCCCCCGCCTACTACCCAAAGACGGCTTGGATAGGCTCCAGCATGCCTGCATGACCCTTGTGAGGATAAAGTGGATCGGAAAATGGATGGATGAATGAATCACATTAACTCAATGAAACGATCGAACGAAATGGCTGAAATAAATAGAGAAATGAACACTGTCATCAACTCACCAAAGGGGACATCTTTGTCATTATCGTCTATGTCGCCTTCAAGTTCTGGAACTGAAAAGACAACGGAACGATTCAAGTGGTTTTTCAGCCCCCCCCCCAAAAAAAAACAATGCTACTTGTAATCCCCCCCCCCCCTCCAAAAAGAAAAAAAACAATGCTATTTGTAACCTGCTCAATTTGGATCTTTCGCAAGAGCAAAACAAATCTCTCTTTACCGTCCTCATCTTCATCCCCCATGAAGGTTCCTCCTTCTCCGCCCACTTCTTCTCCAAAGTCTTCCTCGTTCATGCTGCCCAGGGACACTTCCTCGTCGTCCAGGTCGCCTGACTCATCCGACTCGTCCGACTCATCCGCGTCCTTTCTTGCGGCTTTTTTTTTCTGGTCGCCCGACATGTTGCTGCCATATCGAGTAATGCACGATCAGCTCGGCGGCAGAGGCGGACAACGTGACAAGCGCAGCATCTTGTAAGAACGTTTTTTTAAAAAAAGTGAATTGTGAATAGGATAATCCATTATCGCATTCATTGATAATTACCGTATTGGCCCGAATATAAGATGGTGTTTTTTTGCATTGAAATAAGACAAAGTGGGGGTCGTCTTGTATTCGGGGTCTAGACATTATACCCATTCACGACGCTAGATGGCGCCAGATATCAATGAAGCGAATGCTGAACTTGACTCCCCAGGCCAAAGTGAACTCCTGCCACGAAGGATAAAAATAAAAAGAGCAGTAGCACGAAGAAGAAAAATAAAAAATAGCGGTAAGAAGGAAAAGAGAAGAAAATAATAGAAGAAATAACAGGAAATGGAGAAGCGTAAGTGACAATCTGGAGAAAAGTGGGTCGAAGATCGGCCAGGTTAACCGGCAGCTGAGGAGAAGTTATGATGTAATTTACAATTCAAAAACCAGAAGCCATTCATTTACGAATGTGATTGCACTTTAGATTTGAATGAGGCAAAATAACATGCTGTTTCTCTCAAATATATTCTTATAATAATTTGTTTCAAATGTACTGTAATTATTTTCTGTATAAAAATTAATTTGCTGTTCAAAAAGTCTTTTTTCAAACTTGAGTCTTGAAAAAGAGGGGGTCGTCTTATAATCAGGGCCGTCTTATATTCGGGCCAACACGGTATTCTTGATGATCGGTTAATGGATTCATCGGTGCACCTCTGAAAAGTAAACGCAACCCTCTTCAAAGAATTTTGTCAGGTGACTTCAGTTATTTCCCTCCTGTGTCATATTTATTTTTAAGCAAGCACACACGAAAAAAAAAAGAAAAAAAAACCTTTAGCTCACCCAGCAAAGTCCAAATCTTTGTCTGGTAACTCTGTGAAGTACGAGTCCCCTTCGCACGAGTCTGTTGAAGGAAAACTTGTTAACATCTAGAAGAAGGAAAAAAGGGAGGAGGAAGTGTGTGAAAGGCGACCAACCAAGCATCTTCTCAAACTCGTCGTCGTCGACGTCCTCCAGGCTCTCGTTGTCGTTGTCAATTTTGGGCCGGCGGTGTGCGTTCTCCTGCTGCCGCTTCTTGAAAAAGCTGCCGGGTAAATTTAGTCGAGAAATTCAGGGGTTTGGCTTCATCAAAGTAGGGGAGAAGGGTTTCCGACGCCGACACCAAACGAGAAGACAAACTCACCGATAAAAGAAGATTTGGTCCACGGGAATCTGGCTTTCTTCTTGACGCAGAAACTCTTCGCTGTTCACTGACATGCACAAAAAAAAAAAAAACAAAACAAAACAAGAAACATTGACAAAATGAAAAGAACGACTCTCTGGTCCGCTTATTCAACAGAATCCAAAACGTGGTTCAATTTGAAAAGATACTCAAAGGTGTCACCTGCTAACGAGCTGCCATGCGATCTCTGTTTGGGCTGCAACACCGAAGTGTCCGTGTTCTCTACATGACAAAAAAACGGCATATTTTTCCCCTCAAATTCATGCGTAGGTTATTGTTTTTTCTTTTTTTTAATGGTTGAGATGATTACGTTTGCGCTTGATCGGTTTGGGGTTTCTGAAGACAAATCTGTCCAGGAAGCGCATGAGGGTGAAGTCCTGCAGGGGGTCGCCAGAGTACTGGATCAAGTCCCCCTGTTCACATTTCACACATTTTCCATCAATTTACGCCGGACTGGAGACGAACAAATTCATGACCTATGAAATCACAATACAGTGGTACCTCGACTTACGAACGTGTCTTCATGCGAAATTTTTAAAGTTACGAAACGCCTCAACAGGAAAATATTGCCTCTTGTTCCGAAAGAAATGTCAAGATACGAAAGGTAAAAATACAGTATGGGCTGCTACTCGCAGCTCCGAGTTACCTGAACGCAACATACTTCTAGCTGCTCTGCCATTGGCTATTACCTAGCATCTTCCTGGCATCCCATTGGCTAAGACGGACCTCTACTGGATGTGTCAATGTGTTAGATAGATCGATTATGTGTCTATGCTGCGTCCTTGTCATTCGCCTCTTGGGCCATGAGGTGTTAAAATAGTTTTATGCAAATGTGAATCACCCAAGAAAAGTGTTCACCAGTCGGGCAATCGCTCACTGCTGATTTTTGCCTTGGACATTTTCGAAGGATTGTTAAAAGCTGACAAAAGCAAGCGTCTTTGGATCAGTTGTTTACAAAACGCCAGGTAAAAACCATTTCTGAGAGAGAACATGAACTAAAGAGGACAAAAAACGATGAGGACGTAGTTAATTGATCATCCTTTTTTAAATTTGTTGTGCAATAATCTAATTGCCACATGTATTTGTTACATATTTTGGTACATTTTTATGCTTTAAAAAACATTTTTGTCTGAATTTGGGGGGGCTTGGAACGGATTAGGGCATTTACATGGAAAACGCGTCTCTCCTTACATTTTCTAGTTAAGAAATTTCTTCGAGAACCAATTAATTTCGTAAGTAGAGGTACCACTGTGTGAGAGTTCTGAATTTGTTTTCTCACCTGCAGGAGAGTTTTGGCGAAGAGCGACACGGACGGGTGGAAGTGCAGCGCCAGCTGAGGAAGCAAACAGGAAAACATTTCAAAGACGACCAAAATGGATTCTCGAATCGAGATTGGTTTGGCGCTTTTGAATCACAAAGAACTACAAGCATGGTATGTGTGAGTGCGCTCTATGTTTCTCACCCGGCGAAGTTCCCACAACGTGGCGCGTTCGGCGCAGCAGAATAACGGATTGCGATGCAGCGGGTCGTACTTCTGCTGTTTGCGCGCGCCTGTGCACATCGAGGCAATCAATCAATTCAAAGGGGGCCCACGGCAACTGAAGTGTCGAGTGTGTGCGTGAAGCGGACCTCGCAGGTTCTGATGATGTATCCACGATGCCACGGGTTTGGACTCCAGCTCGCTCGTTGTCGCGGCTTCCATCTTGTCGATGTCAGCGAAGCGCTCCACTTCGTCATCGTCGTCGTCAAGCTTTTCTTCAGGGCGGTCCATGAAGGCCTCGTCTCCATCCTCGGTCAAACAAAACGGTTTGGACATTTTATTAAACGTCACGAAATGTTACATGTGGAATGTTGCTTTTGGAAGGCGGTCGTACTTCTTCCTCCTGCAGCAAGGTCTTGAGTTCCGGCTTGGCCCGCATGACCCCTGAGATGACCATGAGGGCGGCGCAGGCAAAGTTGGGTCCTTGTTGGGCGCTGACCTGGAGCAGACGCTTGATGAAGGCTCTGATGCGCCGAAGCACCGTGTCGGCCTTCAGGGATTTGAAAAGCAGGTTGAGGAACATGTTCTGACGCGTGGACGTCGACAGACTGGCGTCCAGAAGCTTCCTGTCCAAAAAGAAGAAGAAGAGACAACAGAAGGTCACACCGGCACATGATGACAAAATAACTTTGGCAGACTCAGCTTGACATGGAAATACTGGATATTCCGTCGAGTTGCAGCGGGGTTGCCATACTCACATTCTATACACTGTAGTATCTGTGACTTTCAATGCGAGTGGCGTTAAAAGGTGGAGCCTAGCCTCGTGAGTGACGTGGGCGTCAGCAAGTGAGGGTGCGGAGTCGGCTGGCTGTTAGGTGGCTAACTCGTTTGCGAGTCTGTGTGTTGAGTTGGTCGGCGTGAGCGCTGCCATTGACAGCTTGCGAATGAAAGCGCTCATCACGTGATGAGCTTGTAATATTTTGGAAATTTCAGTCTGCAGCCAGTCTAGGCCTGGTGCTTTACCTGTGTTTAAATGATTTAAGGTTGCTCCTTTGTTAAAGTTGCAACCAGATTTGAATTTCCTGGAATATTGGCTACCACTATTTGGAGGGTATCGATATGAGAGATTTTGTTCTTGTCCCATATGTGTTCCATGTTTTTTTTTCCTGATGAGTTCGCCTTACAGCTTGCAAATCTGAGTATCTGACCTCTTGGGTAGCCCTTAAAGGATTGCTTCGTTTTATGTACAGTGAAACTCCTCTAGAACGAAACCTACATGGGCGAAAATCTCTTGCCTCGCGATGATTTTAACTACAACGAAGTCTAATCCAACAGCGACTTCTACTGCTTCGTTCGGAAACGGCAACAGCAACCACCACACTGGTTGACACATGCGCAGTAGTCCAGGAAATATTTGTTAGTGTTAGCTCAGACGCAGCAAGAACGTTGCATTGCTAAAATGGCTACAAAACGGACCTTTGGATGTCAAGCAGCTAAGACAAGAAGAGCTCTGACGCTGGAAGAGAGGGGAAAAGTGATCAAAAGGAAAGAGGGAGGAAGCAAAATAAAACACATTATCCAAGAAATTGATGTAAGTGAAAGTGAATGCTGATCGTAAATTTCGCAATTTCTTTCCCTTTTTTCTTTCTACACTGACTATATGAAGTGTCAAATAAGTGTGTGTTTACATCTGAGATCAAATTTGCTACAGTGAAAAACCCCCTGTTGTGAAAAATGTCTTTCTGCAAACATGATTTCATTGTAGAAGAGTTTCACTGTAGTTTGTTTTCTTACAGACTCTGTCTTCCTGCCATAGTACTGTCTTATATTGACGAAAATCTTTGCAGCCCAAAATTACCTGTACAAGGCGACGTAGTAACGGTCGGAGGTGGTCTGCTGGTCGTCCATGACTTGAAAGAGAAGCATGAGCGCCTGCACGGCCGTGTTGAACTTAACCGTGTGCACCACTTTGAACAGCGTGTCCGTCTGCTCTTTCACCTTCTCGTCTGTTTTGCTGGCGAACGGGTACGCCCGGTTGACGCCCGACAGCAGCGCGCTGAGCATCTTGGAATCCACTTCTGTCTTGCTGACACAGGCGCGGAAGAAGGAGAAGTAGATGCCGATGAGTTTGGTGTGCAACAGTGTCTCCAGCAGGTGCGAGGCCTTGGCCGCCATCTTGTACTCTGGGTCGCCCAACTTGTTGACCAGGTGGATGAGCAGCGCCCGCTCCTGCTCAGGCCGCTGGGACAGGAGCTCGTGCGCGGTAACTAGCGCCTTGGTCTTGGTGGCCGACACCGTGTCGTGAGCGACCACGTCCAGCGCGGCCACAAACTGCGCCACGTGGTGCTTCAGGTGGTGCTCGAAGTACCAGAGGATCAGGCGACGGTCGCGGGCGTCACGGTTGCCACTCGCCAGCTCCTCCAGCTTGTCGAACGGGTGCTGGTCGAAAGTCCGCAGCTTCCTGTTCTCCGGCAGCAAGTCAGACAGAAGCAGCTCCCGCAGCGTGTCCAGTGCCATCAGGCTCATCCGGCGACTGCCTTTCTTCTTCACCATGGACACCAGATCCTCCACATGTTCCAGCATATGCACCGGAGCGTCCTGGATAAGAACCGTCATCGCCGCCATCCTGTCGGCCAGAGCCCCAGCCGAGACCACCGTCTTCATCCAAGCCGAGTTGGCTCCTTTCTGGAGGGCTTTCTTGGTCTTATACAACTCTACATCAGCCTCATAGAGACGCTGAGCCAGCGTCTTGTAGGACGACACCACACCGGGATCCTGCGAAAGTGTGGAGCCCTCTGCGCTGTATTCCAGGTCATACCATTTGCCTCCGGGTTTGATTAGCAGGGCATTCCGCTGATGGAACTCAAACACGTTCTGTTTACCTTGTTTCTTAGTCATTGCGACCGCCATCGCCGCTGTTCCTTTTGGTGTCTTCTCCTTTTTCTGCTGCTCAGAAGGCTTCTGCTGTGGCTTGGAGGGTTTTGCCACAGCAGGTTTCTCCAATTTAGACTTTGGGAGCTCCTTGTTTGGAACTGCTTCTTCCTTTGTCTCGTCTGGGAGGACCTGCAAGTTGGCAAGCTCCCGAATGCCCAATTTAGTGATGAAACTCTCCAGTTCGCCTTCCTCCAGGTCATCTATGGTGCCTTTCTTCCCTCCATCCACCAGATCGTGGGACGCGTCCAAGCTGCACAGAAGCCTGAAGTCGGCCTGCAGACATCATCAATCCATAAAATACAGAAAGTTCAGTCATGAAGTTCAATCAGTACGTCTATTACCACTCTGTTTTTAATTTGTCCTACGAATAAAGTATATAATGCGAGTATTTTAGCCATCGTTGTTTTTCTGAAAAGTCGCCGAATGTTTTCTTGAATTCACCTGAGTACCACCGAGCCGCAGAACTTCCTCGAGATTGAACTCGTCCGCCTCCGCCTGGTGTCCATCGTCTACCATGTCCCCTTCGTCGTCGCAGTTTTCCTCCTCCATAATGTTCTCTTCCGGCTGATGTATGCCCTTTTTGCCAGCCTTCGACTTTTTTCGGTGATTGTTTTTGGCCGCCATGCTGATAACATGAGGACGCACGACCCGGAAGTGGACTAGCCGACGTCACAGTGTCGTTTCCGCACATTTTTTTCTTGTGAAAGGCACAAACCAAGCTTTTTTTTTTATCATCAACCAAACACATATTTGTGTGTGTGTGTGTGTGTGTGTGTGTGTGTGTGTTTTTAAATATATATGTTCACATTTTCTTTTTATCCTTCGAGACAGGACGCGTGATCGTCACATCCGCCTTAAAGTCCGAGTCCGGGTACTCCAAACATGTAGGCAGGCAATAAATAAATAAATAAATAAACACACACATAAATTAATAAACAAATAAAAAACTTTAAATAATTACAAATATAAAACCAGATCTTGTCCAATCAAAAGGCTTGCTGCTCTTGCCATTTGGTCAAGTTTTAAGACATGCAGACCAACTTTTCAAAATAATTAAAAACATCCCAAATACAAACCACAGCCAGATTATACGAGATTTCAAATTGATAGTCCATTATAAATTCAGCTTATATATTTGATGAAAAGTAAGGAATTACTTCACAAATGGAACCAAATTATTAATATGAACATCGTAACTTGTTTAGTTGTGAAAGGACAGCGGATGTTTGTCGTCTGTCGTTGCATTGAATGGCGTGGGCACGGAGGGTCCTGACTCCGCCGCACGGACTTTCCGGCTCGTAATAATCAAGCATAACATAATTTCTGCCTTTTGTACTTGAAACGAATAGGTCGTTTCTTCGTGTTTTGTCTCCTGTATCTTGACGCACTTGTGGCTAACCGTGCTAATATTAACCATCCTCGTGACTGTCGATTACATTGAACGCACCTTAAATCGAGCATGGGACTCGATTGAGCGTCAGTGTTCCCCTTGATTGACATTTGTTGCAATGACGGGCTTTTGTGCTTCCAAAACGCAACAACTGCTCAAGCTGAGTCTTTCTATCAGTCCAGCGGCATCAGGTAAGAATTGTGATGGTGAATCGCCCACTCTACAATCGCGAATAGTAAGACCACGTCATCGGGATTGGTACAGATTTACTGCTCATTCATTAAAACATGACACAGTGTACACATTAAAAAAAGATTTCTTGCATAGTAGGACCAGTTGTCAGCAGTGAGCGGTGAGGATAGTAAGTATGTAATAATATTTTTTAAAATGGCTGTGTGCAAAATCACTTTTTATCCACTGTCAAAACTGGGCAAAGTAGAGTCTATATTACTTTTATGTCGATGTTTTTAAAGCTTTATGCATAAGACCAATACAAAATATGCCGGGTGAGATGCATGTGTTATATTTGTCCATTCGGGGTTTACATCCTCACATTAGTATCTGTGTCTTTGAATGTGTGTGGTTTTCAAGGGTGGGGCCTGAGAGTGGCGTGGACATCAGCGAACGCGAGTGCAGACTTGAGTGGCTTGTCACTAGCCTAACCCGTTACCCAGTTTGCGTGTTGAGGGACTCAGTGTCACTTGTGAAAAATCCACGATACAATTAACAGCCAAAAGCTACCTCGCAGATGTCTATTGCGATAAAGAGGGACAAGTGTAGAGTTTAGTGATCAGGGAGTTAGGAATTAGCAAATGTTATAAAAAGTTTGTTTGTTGTCAGTGTGCTGGCGAGTGGCGACCACCAGACTTTGGAGCTCCTCATCTTCCTCTTCGGGGGAGGATGCGAGCGGATCCTCTATGCTGCGACACCTGACGTCCAAAATCACAGCCACCGGGCCCATTTCTGTGGCCGAATACATGAGGGAGGCGCTCACCAATCCCGTCATGGTGCGTCTGCAACTTGCTCATTTTCAGCCCAACCAGGAAAAACGTGGCGCCTCATACTTTGTTTATCTTGCAACTTCAGGGATATTATGTGAAGAAGAACATGCTGGGAGCCGAAGGGGACTTCATCACATCACCAGAGATTAGTCAGATCTTCGGAGAGGTCCTTAAACTTTTTTTTTTTTTTTTTGCCTGCTCACATTTGTCTTCCCTGTCTCTCCACAAAAATTCATGACATTGCTGCAAGCTGCCACTCGGCCCTTGTTTGGATCTATAGTCACATCGCTTCTGTTTTGTCTGCCTTGTGCTCTAGTTCATCAGTGGCTTTTTTTTTTCACGTGCATTCACTATTCATGCCATGAACTGCATCATCTTTTGTCATGACTCGATCACACATTTTCTACTTCTTAATGCCGCACACTCACTTTATAGCATATGCATACAAACTCTGTTGGGAGTGTCAGGTACCAAATTTTATCCAACTTCCGACAGGTTGGCATTTCTCTCCATCATAATCCAGGTGACCAGCCACGATTCACTCTGTGATTTTTTTAATTTTCATCTCAACAGCAGTGCTGATCTCAAATGCAAAGCAGGATGGCGGCAAAGTACTACCGTATCGGCCCGAATATAAGATGGTGTTTTTTTTGCATTGAAATAAGAATGAAAAAGTGGGGGTCGTCTTATATTTGGGGTCGAGACATTATACCCATTCACGACGCTAGATGGCGCCAGATATCATTGAAGCGAATGCTGAACTTGACTCCCCAGGCCAAAGTGAACCCCTGCCACGAAGAATAAAAATAAAAAATAGCGGAAACAAGGAAAAGGGAAGAAAATAATAGAAGAGATAACAGAAAATGGAGAAACGTAGTGACAATCTGGAGAAAAGTGGGTCGAAGATCAGCCAGGTTAACCGGCAGCTGATGAGAAGTCATGATGTAATTTACATTTCAAAAACCAGAAGCCATTCATTTACGAATGTGATTGCACTTTAGATTTGAATGAGGCAAAATAACATGTTTTTCTCTCTCAAATATATTGTAATCATTTGTTTCAGATGTACTGTAATTATTTTCTGTAAAAAAATTAATTTGGTGTTCAAAAAGTCTTTTTTCAAGCTTGAGTCTTGAAAAAGAGGGGGTCGTCTTATAATCAGGGCCGTCTTATATTCGGGCCTATACGGTACTTTTCCATGACACAGGGTGACATCCTTGTCACCAAGATGAGACAAGATGAGCCGAGTTTGCTTTTTCAATAAAACGCACTTACTTCTGGACTTGCTGTTTGTGCAGCTGCTGGGAGTGTGGGTGGTCAGCGAGTGGATGGCAGCGGGTCGGCCCAAACAGCTCCAGCTGGTGGAGCTAGGACCCGGAAAAGGATCTTTGACCAGTGACATTCTCAGAGTACGACGGCACCGCCGCGCCTTCCTTTTATCTTTCCGCCGACAAAAATCATCATCGCGTTGACTCCGCTTCCTCTCGCAGGTGTTCGCTCAGCTTCAGCCTGTGCTGAGTTCGGCTTCTGTGTCACTGCACTTGGTGGAGGTGAGTCCGGTTCTGAGTCGTCTGCAGGCGCAGAATCTGGTCGGGACCAGCGACAGTGTTGAATTCGAACGGGAGAATGAGCCCGTTTACAGGCACGGCCGAACCGCCGCCGGCCTGCCGGTGTCCTGGTACCGTCGCTTGGAAGACGTTCCACCTGGTAAGCCCAAAATACAAAAACACGGAATTTTGAGAACAGCTATATTCAGGTTCCGCCTTTGCATCACTGCAACATCATCGATTTTGAATCCATTGTGTTTGATTGAAAAATGTGTATGACGCTGACGTTAATCAATTGGACAAAGAGAAACATCCATGCCAGTCAATAAAGCAGAGAAGGTCCCCAATAGCGTGAGGCTGATTTTTGGGATTGTTGTGCAAAACTATGACACAATAAATACATGTTACTGTTAAAACGGCAATCAATCAAAAGTGAGTATTGGCTACATTGATTTCAGCTCACTGCTGTCAAGAGAAAAGAAACTAACGTGAAGCCTTTCTTTCTCACGCAGGTTTCAGCATCTTTCTGGCTCATGAATTCTTTGACGCGCTACCTATACACAAGTTCCAGGTACCAACAAGATTTCTTGCGTTAGACACAAAACAACTAACAGAAACCTTTCATCTTCCCGTTTGGAAAATCTTCGTGAAGAATAATCTTGGTTAACTGCGTTGCGAATCCCTCAACATGCTGGACAGCAGCCATTGGAACATTCCCTGTACTATTCTTTAGGTTAAAAAAAAAAAAAATCGGCTCTTGATGCATATGCTAATACGCATAAATAGCCGATCGTAAGTTTTCTTGTTTTTCATTTTTCTTTGGTGCCAGCGGACGAAGCGAGGCTGGCGTGAGGTGATGGTGGACGTGGACCCCGACCGGCCGGGCCGGCTGAGGTTCGTGGTGGCGCCGTCTCCCACCCTGGCCTCCACCACGCTGGTGCAGGTCAGTGGTTGACGCGCGGGGGGGGGGGGTCAGGTGACCGAGCGTGGAACGTTTGTGATGTCACAGAAATATCAAAAGAAAAAGCAAAGTTAAGCTCAAGAGCCACATTTGTCTTGTTTTGTATGGTTAAAACGTTTGTGTGTGTGTGTTTGCGTGCGTGCAGTCTGACGAAAGTCGGGACCACGTGGAGGTTTGCGCCGAGGGTGGCGTCATCATCCAGCAGGTGGCGCGACGGGTCGCGCAGCACGGCGGGGCTGCGCTGATCGCCGACTATGGCCACGACGGCACCAAGACGGACACCTTCCGGGTAGAACCACGTCGTCGCCACGCCGATCCCGAATTGGGCGCCATGTGTGATGTCATTGCATCTATTTCCATCAGGGGTTCAAAGGTCACCATCTCCATGACGTCCTGGCATCTCCCGGCTGTGCTGACCTCACGGCGGACGTGGATTTCGGCTACGTGCGACGCATGGCGGGAACGGGTGTGGCCTGCTTGGGACCGGTGGCTCAGAGGACTTTCCTGAAGAACATGGGCATCGACGTACGCATGCAGGTACGTGCGCCTCTGACCCGACCGCTAGAAGGATGACAAGTCACACATGCTGCTCGTAGCACAAGTGTGAGATCAAAACAAGTAGAATTTTATAGTGTCAGTCGCGTTACGCCCTGAGGCGCCAGAGTTTTGTCCCAAAAAAGATTCCGTTTTAACCCTTTCATGCACCCACATAATAAGCTGTCCACTTCAGTAACCGCTGTCCCTGAAAGGTTTGATATTACTTTTTCAAAAGCTTGCAGCGCGTCGACCTCGCAGCGCAGAGGTTGTGGGTTTGATCCTGGCTCCGGCTTTCCTGTGTGGAGTTTGCATGTTCTCCCCGGGCCTGCGTGGGTTTTCTCCGGGTACTCAGGTTTCCTCACACATTCCAAAAACATGCATGGCAGGGTGATTGAACACTCTAAATTCTCCTTGGGTTTTCTTCGGGTACTCCGGTTTCCTCGCACATTCCAAAAACATGGATGGCAGGCCGATTGAACACTCTAAATTGTCCGTGGGTTTTGTCCGGGTACTCCGGTATCCTCGCACATTCCAAAAACATGCATGGCAGTCTGATTGAACACTCTAAATTGTCCCGAGGTGTGAGTGCGGATGGTTGTTCATCTCTGTGTGCCCTGTGATTGGCTGGCAACCGGTTCAGGATGTCCCTTGTGAGGATAAAGCAGATCGGAAAATGGATGGATGGATGGATGAAAAGCTTTTAGCTTGAAAATGATTGGAGATAAAGGCACACGACAAATGTTGCTTTGTGCAAATTTGCCAATTGACGAAACAGTAGCATGTAGATGTCAACTAGTGGATGGATTTGACTCTCGAATAACATGCAGTTGTTCTACTAGTGCAGCCCAGAGGATCTGGAGCAATGTCAGAGCGCAGTGAAAAAAAACATCTGAAATGTCTTACGAGTGAAAATAGTGCAGATGTGAAGATGTGCGCGCTAGTAGGATATGGAATAAATCCTCCAGCGACTTTTCTCATGCGTGATGACGTTCCGTTTTTCTTACCCAGGTGTTGCTGAGGAACAGCAACCAGTCGGACAGGAAGCAGCTGCTACGCAGCTACGAGACGATGACGGACGGCGCAAAGATGGGCGAACGCTTCCTGTTCTTCGGCTTGCTGCACCCCAGCTAGTCAATGAACACTGCTGTATTTTTTTTCTTCTTTTTAATTCCCAAATGGTATTTAGGGCTGCGCATGGCAAGTATGTTGCATCTGAGTTCGGATTCTGGGGGTGCTCCTTGCAAAAACGTCTCCCCGGATTGCAAATGTTTGAGAAACCCGTCTTGAGGGCTAGGAGTCCTGCTGGTCCTCCTTGTCTTGACGATCCAGGGAAGGTATGGTTGCGCGTTGCCGGCTTCTGTCGCCACCCAAATCTTCCCAGTGCGCGTCGTCGCTCTGGTGCGTGATGTAACGGTCGCCGTGTCGCGTCTCCAAGTCGCGAAGGTCCTTCCAGGTGTCAAAGTCCTAGAGGACCGGACGCTTGTCTGACTCGATCCGGATAGCGCGAGTCCGTTTTTTTTGCCTTTTAGCTTGTGGCTTACCTGCAGCCACGGGTGACTGAGGGACTTGTCCACACTGTAGCGCTTTCTCAACTTCACCTGCAGCAGGTTGTTGATCAGGTCCGTCGCTATGGAGACAAGACCAGCGGCATCTGATTCAAAAGCTGAGCTGACATTTTTTTGGACACTCATGTGCAGGACCGAGCAAGCTTTTCTGCTCCAAGGGCCACATTGGATTTTTTTCTTTTTTTTTTTAAAGGGACTGATCAACCCTCCCTCTTAAAATGAAATTTTGTATGAAAAACAGTTTTAGGAGTATACAATGATTCATTCTCTTTTTTTTTTAAAGTGTATTATTTTGAATGAATATAATTATGATTAGTCAACCAATCATTCAATAAAACGTATATATTTTTTAAATGTATGTGTACATTTTGGAAAATTACTTTCTCTTATTATTCCTCACCCAAAAATAAATAAATCAAGTTCCGGTACTGAAGGTATTTTGCTCGCTACTGATGTACACTCAGGTGCAATTCTTAAAATGAAGTCAAGTAAAAATCGAGAGTTTATATCAGTTATTTTTATTAATTTTATTTATTATATATAAATAAATATTATTATATTTTAAAAAATTGTTCCATCTAAATGGAGTAAAAAAAAAAAAAAATATTGATGCATTTTTGTGATCCCCTCCCCCATTGACCTCATTAACTCATTCAGTACCAGCCAATTCTAGACCAAGTCTGAAAAGACGTTTAAAAACATCTTTGAGAGTGAATGAGTTAAATAAGTAAATGGAGTTCTTGTTTGTCATTATTTCAGACTCAGTGAATTCTATTAAGCTAATTTTAAATAAAAAAAAACTAAACAAAAAAAAAAAACAACAACATATAAATCGTAACGTAAACGTAACGTATAAATTGTTGGGGCACGGAAAAGTATGCTGATTTACGTTATATGAAATTATTATACACTAACACAGTGGTTCTTAAACTAGTTTCGATCGAACCCCAAGAATTCGGTGAATCCATCTCAGGGGTTTGACAGAAACTCAGCCAAGGAGGTTAAAACACACCCGACTCACATGTCAATTAGTTATGACACGCCCGCTTGGCCATCACTGGCTGCAGAGTTGGCATTGGGACAGGACATGTATAACGCTGCTGGACTAATAATGTGTGTTAATGTTCGTTTCTTGTCACGAGTTGTCTCACAACCACCCCGAATCGCCTACGATGGTCTAAAATGGTGCTGCTGTGAGCTCCAGATAAGTTTCCGAATGGCCTACCGTTCTCTGAGATCTCCTTCCAGGGACTAGGCGGGTACATGAAGGCAGCGTTCTGGATCTGGTCGTTGATGTCCTCATCCTCGTTGAAAGGGAAGGTTCCGCTCAGGCTGACGTAGATGATGACGCCCACCGACCACATGTCCAGGGAGCGGTTGTAGCCTTTGTTGCAAAGAACCTCCGGCGCCAGGTAGGCCGGCGTGCCTACCACGGAACGCCGAAAGGACTTTTCCCCGATCATGCGAGCGAAACCAAAGTCGCACAGCTTCACCTGAAGAAGAGGTCGAAGAGAAGGACGAGACCGTTCATGTCGAGCGGTACGCGTTTGTTATTGTCGTGTTTGCACCTGAGGCAAAGGTTCCGCCGAAGCCAGGAGGACGTTTTCGGGCTTCAGGTCGCAGTGGACGATGTTTTTAAAGTGCAGATGTCGGAGGGCCACCAGGATCTACGCACAACAGAAATAACAACAAGCTCAAAAAATTATTTGGCTTCAGGAACGGGAGGTTCATGGCTGGCGATGCACTAACCCAAATAAATAGACAAACAATGTTTCGAATCGGCAGTCCTCGAATTGAAAGCGGCGCTTTGAACGAATTTCCCTCGGAGCGGATCGGGCAAGCGTGCTGTCTGTTTTGCTGCACTAGCGAGTTGTGTGAGACTAATTGAGTAATACTCCCAACAACATGAACTCCGAAAGGAGACGAAGAAGAAGAGGGCCGAGCCAATAGAGGGCTCCGTCCTTTTAGCAACTACCCACAATGCACTACCGGCGGCCATATTGGAGGGCTGTTATAAACAAGCCATACACGAATAGACTTCGTGTATAGCAGTGTTTTTCAACCGGTGTGCCGCGGCACACCAGTGTGCCGCGAGACATTGTCAGGTATGCCGCGGGAAAATATCCAATTTTTATGCCTGTGCGGTCTTTCGCCCATAAAGTAATCATGTAGTACCCTCCCATACAGCTAGGGAGCAGCAACAGCTAGCCAATTGCCTTGTGTTAGACACGCGAGACGCGAATTTGTGACGCATGAATGCACGAACGGTGAAACAATAAATATGAAAGATGATAAAATACTGTTTCCTTTGTGTTCATTAGATTCCAATTCAAGCTGTTATAACGTAATTCTTCAATGTTAAAAACGGTTATAGTAACAATCTCCGTCCTTTTAGCAATTACCCACAATGCACTCCTATACCGGCTTGTTTAGAACAGCCCTCCAATATGGCCGCCGGTAGTGCATTGTGGGTAATTGCTAAAAGGACGGAGCCCTCTATTCTCAAGCCAGCATTTGTTGGACTGATTACCATATTTTCCGGACTATAAGTCGCCGTTTTTTTCATACTTTGGCCGGGGGTGCGACTTATACTCTGGAGCGACTTATGTGTGAAATTATTCACACATGATTATTGTACTCTGGAGCGATTTATGTGTGAAATTATTAACACGATTATGGCATTTCACGTTATTTTAACAACCACAAGAGGGCGCTGTCGGCCTGTGTTGATAAATCGACGATGAGTCTGACGTAGCGACGTAGAAGAGGAAGTGGCGCATCTTCTACCTCCAGAGTTGGGGGAGTTGTATATAAGTGACACCGAGGATGACGATTTCATTGATTTTTGGGGGAGTTGTTTAAAAGTGACACCGAGGATGACGATTTCATTGGATTTAGTGATTTGGACTGAAACTGATAGTTTGGTAAACTTGTTAGCATGTTCTTCATGCTAGTGTTATCTGAATAACTCTTAATATGTTACGTCGTCGTTAGTGACATTACCAGGCATGTCAGTCATGTAACGTTAGTATACCGTACACTTATTCAGCCTGTTCTCTATTTTATTTTTATTTTAAATTGCCTTTCAAGATGACATGTATGTTTTTGGTGTTGGATTTTATCAAATAAATTTCCCCCAAAAATGCGACTTATACTCCAGTGCGACTTATATATGATTTTTCCTTCTTAATTATGCATTTTTTGGCTGGTGCGATTTATAATCGGGAGCGACGTATAATCCGAAAAATACGGTAATTGTGGCGCTTACCTGCGTCACCAAGAACTTGGTGAGACGCTCGGGTAGGCGACTCTTCTCGCTGGACAAGATCATCTCTAACATGTCACCGTGGAGCTTCTCCATGACCACGAATACCTTCTCGGGAGTCTCGAACATGCAGTCCAGGTTTACGATGCCGGGGTGCTGCAGGTTCTAGAGAGAGGGAGGGAGGAAGGGAAGGGGGAGAGAGAGAGCGAGAGCGAGACAGAGACAGAGAGAGAAAACATGTCTTGCTTTCCATTAAGCTTTTTTCTTTTTATGCAGTGCTTCAGATTAACGTACATGCACTCCAGTAAAATATTTGACTGAGTTTTGTGTGTGTGCAAATGTATGAAAACTGGGGGAAAAATACTGATCTAGAACTATCAAAAATCCAAAACTGCATAAAACAATAAAAAATAAAATAAAAATGGAGGTGCCACTGTATGTTGTTTTTGGTGCTTATCCTCGACCAAACATCCGAAACATCGAAGGAGTAAATGTTTATAATCATCACATGAAAAACGAGACACTCTTTGCGAATGCGCACAACAAAATATTTGCCAAAGAGGGGCACCAAATCGACGAATGTATTATTCCAATGTTTTCATGACAGGGGGTCCGTCTCAATATACCAGTGGGCCCCCGATACCTGCAAGATGGCCACCTCGTTGCGCAGCTGGCTTTCCTGCTTGGTGGGGAATCTCATCTTGTCGATGATCTTGATGGCCACGTCGCGACCGCTCTTTCTGTGCTGGCCTGAGCAAGACGACACCGACCGAAGCTCCACGTCAAAATGTCTCAACATCATCATCAAAATCCAATTGGAAGAACATGCATTGTACGTGAAAGCTTCCGAAAATAAACGTTAAAACAATTCACTTCTTAACCTGTGCGCCGTGTAACCTGTTAACATGATAAGCTGTCCACTGTAGTGACCGCTGTCCCCGATAGTGTGAAAGACATTGTTCATTTTACAGACTAAAATTGTCATCGCAAATATTTGTTTTCAGGTGAAAACGAAACAGAAACTAAAATACAAGTCATTCATTGATACGATGACTAAATTAATAAAAGACCAACTATAATATAATTACGTAGATGAAGGAATCCATACGTCGATCGGAAAAAAAGAACCATATGGGACAAAGCACGAAGAGAACCAATCAGAGGCCGAATGGAGCGGTGAACAAAAGCCAGTCACCACTTTTAATCCCGCTCCTGGGAAGAAAGTAGATGAGAAAGATTTGATGGTGAAAGCGCGAGATAACATCCATAGCTGGTAGAAAGCGACCAGAGGATTTGTGGGTCATTTCACGTTCCACGTTGAAAAAAAAAAAAGACTTAGCGTTAAGAATGCGTGGGAAGAACACATAGAATTTTTTGAGACATCTACAGAATGTCCATCCCGAGATGTTCCATCCATCCATCCATTTTCCGATCCGCTTATCCTCACAAGGGTCGCGGGGGGTGCTGGAGCCTATCCCAGCCGTCTTCGGGCAGTAGGCGGGGGACACCCTGAACCGGTTGCCAGCCAATTGCAGGGCACACAGAGACCATCCACGCTCATACTCCCGCTTAGGGACAATTTAGAGTGTCACAGGTGACCTCATTGGGGCAAGCGTAGAAGAATCTCATTAGCACAGTGCTTTCCTTAAAATGTAAAGTAAACACATGTTCGCCTTCTGTGGTTGCGTTGCCAGCATTGTTGTGGGAAGGACTGCACACTGCACTTAATTTAGATGAACGAACAGATTCATAAACACGATTACATTCGTTGTAATAAATCTGGGGCAATGAGGCCTTTTTTTTTTGTGTCATTGAAAACTAATTGCTTGGTTTTAAGGTAGCATAACATTGACATTTTAACATTTTTTCCTTGAAACAACGTTTAGTAAAGGCACAGGTGTGTTAAATGTGTGTCTTGCTTGTTAAACTACATTTACAAATTGGGTGTTCTGCTTTTCTGTATAAAAGTTTTGAATGTATGATGGAGGAAAACATCGACTCTATTAATTCTTAACTTCGTCGACTAAAATTGGACTGAAACTAAAATGCAATCAGATGACTAAATCAGGACCAAAACTGGAATTACTTTTCGTCTAACTTCACCGAAATACAGTAAAAATTTCTTGTCAAATGGTTCTTTGGCACACCGCTAGGGGGCGGCTGCAGCCCACAAAGTGCGCACTTGTGAGACTCATCGCGAGTTGCTCCGTGATGAGTTTACCTCCATACACGATGCCAAACTGTCCTGACCCGAGGACGTCGTCGGAGAAGATTTGATAGACAGAACTGATATCCTGGATGAGGAAGACAGTAGGGAAAATCATAATCAAGGGGAAGATCATTTTCCGATGTCGTGAACGTGAGGACTTACCACGTTTTCTTGGATCTGCGAGTTGCAAACTGATATGCTGCTGGTCAGCTCCTCTGTGGACACACCACAACATCACTTTTTGGTTTTTAGCTAAGTAAAACCCATCGCCACTTCCCGTTTACCAAAATAAAGGCAGCGCAGTTCCTGCCCGCCAGTGAATTTCCATGAGAGTGCCGCTATTGATTCAGAAAGGGCTGCTGCTCTGTGCCGCCGTCCTTGCTTACATTTGGTGAAATGTTTGATACGCAACTTTTATTTCGTCACTCGTGAGGAGCACTTCCTGATCCTGGAGTGAGAGCTTCCAGTCATTTGGGGTCGGTCTGATAGAAAAAAAAAAGTGTGTTGCGTAACGTGCATTAGCATAATGGTGTGTGCAATGTGATTGCAAAGGGGTGGGGTGGGGGGGGTGCGCACTAACCAGGTAAAAAGGTCTAAAAGGAGTTAAAGCTTTCTGTTAATTCCCCACAAAAAGCGAGCCGGATGAGGCGTAAAATCCCCTGAAATCCTTTCAATCACAATCACTTGAGTGTGACTGACTGTTGTGGTCTCGTGGCGGCCGTCAAGGGCTCACAGGCAACGTCGGGCTCCATTCGGAGTTAGCACAGACGCGATTCTGCTTCCTGGTGCATCATCAATGCAAGTGCTGCTATCAAAAGCACCAATCCGCGGCAAGAGCAGCGAAGACTCCAGAGTGCGTGAACGATCACTCACGTTCTGAGCGTAATGTTGGAAGATGAGTGTTGTGAAAGTGTTGTGGGATCAATGTTGGTGGAATAGTTATGGTTTTAACTCGTAATACAGTGGTACCTCTACTTACGAAGGTCTCTTCATACGAAAAGTTACGAAACGCCTCAACAGGAAAATATTGCCTCTTGTTACGAAAGAAATTTACATTATGCACAACTTTCATTTATTGTGCAATAATCTAATTGTAACATGTATTTGCCACATATTTTGATGCATTTTTACGCTTTAGAAAACATGTCTGAATTTTGGGGGGGCTTGGAACGGTTTGGGGCATTTACATGGAAAACGCCCCTCTACTTACATCATTTTCTAGTTAAGAAATTTCTTCCAGAACCAATTAATTTCGTAAGTAGAGGTACAGTGAAACTCCTCTACAACGAAACCTACATTGGCGAAAATACCCCCTAGTGTGAAAAAATCTTCATGCATTAACACCATTCCCACTTTCCTGCCCCCCCATACAACGAAAAAAAACTCTGTTGCGTTATACGAAATCTTTTTCTCTGCTCTTGCTTCACGACGAGATTCACTACAACGAAGTCTAATCCAACAGCGACCTCTACTGCTTCGTTCGGAAACGGCAACAGCAACCACCACACTGGTTGACACATGCGCAGTAGTCCAGGAAGTATTTGTTAAGTGTTAGTTTCAGACGCGGCAAGAACGTTGCATTGCTAAAATGGCTACGAACGGACCTTTGGATGTCAAGCAGCTAAGACAAGAAGAGCTCTGACGCTGGAAGAGAGGGTAAAAGTGATCAAAATGAAAGACGGAGGAAACAAAATAAAAGACATTATCCAAGAATTGATGTAAGTGAAAGTGAACGCTGATCGTATATTTCGCAATTTCTTTCCCCTTTTTTTCTTTCTACACTGACTATATGAAGTGTCAAATAAGTGTATGCTCATTCTTTTGCACTATTGGAATAAAAATAAAGAGTACACATACGTTTTTGTGTGCGTGTACACATACATTTGTGTGTTTGTGTGTGTGTGTGTTTACATCTGAGATCAAATTTGCTACAGTGAAAAACCCCCTGTTGTGAAAAATTTCTTGCTGCAAACGTGATTTCTTTGTAGAGGAGTTTCACTGTACCACTGTATGATCAATTATAAATTATTTTTTTTGTCACATCACAAATTTGGACACAATCAACATATATTTTTGGCATTGATGACTCACTGTGGTCCTGACCATTTCCGGTGTTCAGGCTGGATTTGGGGGTGAGGGGCATCAAGGCCCGACGGATGGCCTTCTCCCAAGTGCGGCCCATTTCCTGAGCTGCGCCGCGGTCGTCCTCGCCGACATAGTAGATGACTCCGGACGCAAGGACCAGGCGGAAGCATGGAGGGCTACTGCCCACCGTCGGGCCGACGATTTCCTGCGTAGCTTCCACGCGCAGGATCTCGGACAACGACAGCTCCTGAGGACATGCATCAGAACTGTTATGTCACCTTTTAACAAAGCCGAAACCTAAAACTCGTCTCGGAATAGATCTTATTGAAATGGAATGGACTTTAAATCTCATCTTGTCTAAATCTCCTGTCGAGGAATTCATCCCTTACTGTGATTTACTTCCTTCTTTGTTGTCGGCTCTGTTCCAACTCTTGAAAGCAAGAATGTAGCATACTGTGTGCGAAGGATTGGCCAACGGCCCAATCCCCTTTGCACTATTCGAATGTAAATCTATTCACATTTAGTCAACATCGAGTCGAGTATGTACCGTATTTTTCCCACTAAAAGGCGCACTGGAATATGAGGCGTACCTTCAATGAATGGCCTATTTTGTAATTTTTTTCATTTCAATATTTTTCATATAAGGCGCAATCTACAATGCATCCACTAGATGGAGCTACAGGTACGTCTTTGTCCATCTCTGTGCATTCTCTTCTTCCGTTACACTCAAGAGGCGTTCATGACCGCCTCCAAAAAACGTAAATTAACGATTACTTCAATGAAACTACGAAAATTGAAAATACAGTAATGCCTCAAAACAGAAAATCACAAAATAAATTCTATAGTATTGTGCCCCCCCCCCCCCGACAGAATTTATTTTGGCATTTCCTTGAGCATAGCTGTAACAGAACGATCAAATGTCAGTAAATTGGAGGAGACTGGACTGTCTCAGAAGTGTTTGTTATTTATTCCTTTGTTGTGTACTGTATTCACAAACGAGGAAATCACAAAATAAATTCTGTAGTGGGGCTATAGAATTGATTTTGCGATTTCCTCGCTTGATTTTCTGTTTTGATGCATTATTTTCAATTTTCGTAGTTTCATTGAAGGAATCGTTAATTTACGTTTTTCGGAGGCGGTCATGAACGCCTCTTGAGTCGAACGGAAGAAGAGAAGGCACGGAGACGGACAAAGACGTACCTGTGTTTGTTGAGACTGTGAAAACCATTAATAAAGTGTGCATTTTAAAAAAACAACACCACAGCTGCAACAAAAACTTATTTAATAAAGCAGCGACACAGTTCACTGAACCAACAGCAAGTTTTAACATTGTAAGCATGTCTCCAGCAAGGAGCCATCTTGGGGTCGACGTATTACCGTAATGACCATACACAAGGCGCGCCGGATTTTAAGGCGCGCTGTGAGCTTTTAAGAAAATGGAAGACTTTTCGGTGCGCCTTATAGTGCGGAAAATACGATAGTTATAAATCTAGCCTGAGGCTAATATATGATGAATGCAGATGAAAGTCAGGTTTAAGAAATGATCTCAATCAAGGCTAAGTCCAAGTCTAGTTTTGGTGCAAACAAATCTTGTGTGTCTGTACCTTGTAGAACTTGGCTCCGCTGTGGTTCTGGAAGAGCGTAAGACTTTTGCAGTCCAGACACCAAAAATGACGTTTCCGCTGCATGGACACGTCAAGGTCAGAGTGGTACATAAGAGTCCATTTTCACGTGCGTTTCTGTGTATGTGTGTACTGACCATGTTGTCATGACTACTGTAGTGCACCATCCAACCTTCTTTGACCACAGTGGAGCTTCTTCTCTTGGAATGTTTGATGGACTGAACAACTCGCATCAGAGGGATGTTGCTGCTCGTCAACGGACTGCACAAGCACGCACGCACAAAAACACATACATCAGTAAACATTGGCTTCTCGCACTTCATAATCTTAGTGACATAAATGCCAATCAAAACAGCTTAAAATGCCTCGTTGTAATGAGTTGTATTGGAACACGTAAGAGGGAGCACATACTGCAACTCCTGTTCTGGCCCCAACACTCACACAAATAGCTTTTTTTTAACAGCTTGAAACCGAGGACAGTTCTTGCTGGACGTGCATGTCACCTGATAGCTTGCGTCGTCTCGTCAACCTTCTCGCTGTCCTTGCAGGATCCGTCGTTGAAGATCTTGTGGTGCTCCAACGTGGTCCCTCGGTCCTCTTCATCGGCGCTGTGTCCTCCGTCACTGCCGACCTCACTGATCTCCAGCTCAATGGTGGATTCGGCTTCCGGAGTGGGACTGCATGTCCCTTCTCAAGTACAGGACACACGTAACAAGTTGCACGTGAAGTCACATGAACATGTCGTACTTGATGTAACGAATTAACAAAGATGTGGACTCACCTCCATTGAAGTGGACTTCCCCCACGCAGTCTCGAGGAACTTTGTCCGCGCACCTCTTGTGACAGTTGAATTTACAATCTGAAACAGAGGCGGCACGTCAGAAGGTTCCAGAAACTTCAGGACAAGGTAACGATGCAGCGTGATGAGCCCACTGACCTTTGCATTGCAGGCCTTGTCTGAAGAGACCCTTGAGCAGATGCTTGCAGTGCTGACACACGGTGGGCCGCGCGTACGTGTGCACGGAGAACGTGTGCGGCAGCTTCACGCCGCCGGGGACCGTCTTTCCCATCCAGGTGGGACAATCGCTAAGCATACGATTCCCGCCGCCCAGCGGGAGGCGCTGCTGCTCACACAGACGCAAAGAACAATAGCGCATCACCAGCACAAAATAGACAAAACCTCCCGCATATTATATTTGAAATGAAATCCTCAATTATTAACTTTTCCGGACATTATTTTTTATGATGACAAGAAATAATAATAATGCTGAAACACACAAATACAAAGAAGGAAGCAAAAAGGACATTTGGACTAATCGAAAGTTTTCCATGCCACGGAACAACCAGCTTCCTATCTGGACCAGCTGGCCTCAACCCGCATGTGCCCCACTTTGGATAATCCACCTTCTTCTGACACACACACACACACACACACACACACACACACACACACACACACACGCACACACGCACACGCGCACACGCACACGCACACACACAAACTACAATTAATGACCAATGTGCCAAGTATGACCCACTAATGATGCATTGAGTGTGTGTGTGTGTGTGTGTGTGTGTGGGGGGGGGGGGCAGGACTCACTTTGTTGGCTGTGTGAAACAGGATGGAAAATCCATTGCTTTGCCTCCAGGCACTGTCAACGCACGTGTTTGTGTGTGTTTGAGAGATGTTTGGGGAACCTAGACTAGCTAATGTGTTACAAGCTAGCTAGTGTGACTAGCTAGTGTGTTACAAGCACATGTCAAGGTAGACTGTAACATGCAAATGTAACACTTGAAGTCAGCTATAAGGTATTTGTTGGTTGTGGACGAGAACTTGGAGAGAACCCCGGTACCTCATCATGCGGCGTGTTGCAAGTTTTGGGGAAGTCTACCGAAGGCGGGCGCGCAAGAGAAGCGGGAGTGCTGCTCAGGGAGACAGAGGCTCGTCTCCTCCTGATGCCGCTGCAGTTGTTTGGGATTTTCAACGCACAACGCTTGTGGAAATTCAGACCACAACCTGCACAAGAGCACATACACTCTTTTTGTCTCTGTGGGTTCAGACCTCATATGTCAAGAAAGCCAAACCAAGAAAGGAGAAGACAGTGAACAGTAAGGTGGAGCCTACTTAGTACCGCTTTTCACTTTTTACTGATATGCATTTGGCCACATTTGTTTTAACATTGCCAATGTGAGGTTTCCAGGACAGTTTAGCGTTGGGTATGACTCGAGGGAATTAATTTGTTTACTTCTCTACTCTATTTCTTCATGATCTATTTTAACTCTTATTTCTACAACAAATATGTTTAACTTAAGTGCAACTGTACAAATGCTAATTGAATAGTAGTATCACCCGCAAAAAGAAATCATACATGTACAATAAAAACAACAAAGGCCCCAGCATTGACCCCTGTGGCTCACCACTCTTGAATTGATACTAAACCATTTGTACAATTATCTATCTACGAATGAGATAATGCTTTAAACATTTCAACTTTCAAGCTTTGTTCAACTTGAGGCAGGTGTGTTACCGTCACATTTGAGGCCTTGGCGAACGAGTCCCCAGAGCATCTGGCCGCAGTGATCGCAGAAAGCAGGCGCGCGGTATGAGTGCACGTACAGCACGTGGGGGCAGATCTGGAAGTCGTCGGACGAGGCGAGAGCTGCGATCAGAGAATACGACGTCACCAGTGGAAAGAACATCGCGTTTCAGACGATGAAGAGCGACGACCGCCCGCTGACCCGACACGACCACCTCCACCAGGTCGCCTTCGCGTATGTCCTCGGCGGCGGTAACTCGCTGCAGGATGTTTTCCGAGTTCATGTCATGGCGGAAGAGCAGGATCTTGTCGTGCATCCGCAAGAAACCGCATTCTGGGAACTGACGTGGAAGAAGAGAAACATGAAATGCTACCATCGCCCACTCACACATACCGTGCGGACAAACTCATATTCGCACCCCTGGGCAATTTATTCATCTTCAGTGAAGCTAACGTATTTTTACAACGAAGGAGGAAAAATACATGTACGCACGCACAAACACACACAGACACACAGTTCAACTGACATTCCAAAGATGTGAAACATTAAAGGTCAGGTGTGAACTAAGCTCACCACCTTTTGAGTAATAGTTAGGGTTGAAACTATTTCAAGCATACTTTTCGAAACTTTTTTTGAACAACCCACTCAGGTTCATAGTTTGACCAATAGCAATGCGCTGAGCAACGAAAATGCATTTTTTGTTCGGCAATCTCCGGCGAGTGACATCATTTACAGAATGCCGAGTAGCCAGTCAGCCATTGTAATGCATTGTTGTTTGTCCTGTTTACTACCCTTTGCCATTAGAGTTATAAAAAATAGAGCACAGAAATGGACCAGAAAATTGGAACGATACAGTTTTATTCGCGCAAAGAGAATGAATTTCACACTGGTGTTGATAATAATTCATTGTTACAAGCATTCTTCTGATCCCGATGTGTTTCGGCTCCACTCCTTGTATGGCCGTTCAGGCGCACCATTTTCCACATCCTGAGCATCTGGCTCGTACATGTATGGTCCAACATACATCTTGCCAACAACCTCCTCTTCCTCCAACTTTTCAAACACCTGCAACCCCTCCGATAAGTTTGAAATGTCGCTTTCCGAATCGATTTCTGACTGGCTCTGTTCACTTTCCATAGTGAGCCCCGGGGATTGTTGTCTTAAAGTGATGTCACACTTCCGGGTTTTGACGCTTGTCAGAATCTCACTTTGGCAAAACGATTACTTGGTCAAATTTATGTTAATTAATTTTATGTATTTTGTTACTTGTGACATAAATATATTTTGTTTGGGATTTTCTAAAATTACTTCACAGTTGAGCTTTGAGCTGATTTTTATTATTTTGCCCTGGGTTTGACCTCAGGAAGAAAGAAAAAGAAAATATAACTGAATGCTGGCCTTCATTTTACTTTGGGTGTCTTTTAATGGGCAAGCAAGTGTTTAATGCACACTGAGTCGGTCTTTAATCTGCTATTAACTGAGGCGCACGCGCGCGCACACATGCACACACACACACCACACTCTCACAAACAAACTGGTTGAAGTCACGAGAGGCCTCAGTCAGGGCTGACCCATGACCTTTGTACCCCGAATGTTGGGATGAGATGGTGACATCTTTTGACCAGCGGGGGGCAGAACAAATGTCGCCCTATAAATTGCAGTGCACTCAGGAAATTATCATCAGACTTATGAGAGCACTAATCCTATAAAAAGCAAACACACACACACACACACACACACACACACACACACACACACACACACACGGACACACATTTCAACTGAAGAACATGCATTCTGGGTCGATGGCCATATGTATATTCTCAACTCGCAATCAACTCTTTTTCTGCCTTGATCTGACGGCTATGCTAACATGCAAAGGTTAGCATGCTAATGCTCATGTCAATATGTATATCTCACGTTTGGGCTGTTTTCAAAAGTGAAACGTGGACCTGGCGTGCCGGCGTTCATGCAAACACGATAACTGATTTCCTGCTCAGATTCATCATCATTTACATCAAACACAAACTCACTTCCTGATTTGCTAGTTCAGGCGCAAAGCAACTTTTGCGGCCGTGGTCATGATGGCAGCAAATTTTCTACTGATGAGCATGCAGCTATTTGACACCTCTAGGGGGCGCCATGGGAAGAGAGTCTGCCGCTGTAAATCTTGACGTCAGACGGCAGCAGCATGTGTGACATTTAAGGTCGAAGGTCAAATGAGGATTTAGTCATCAGAATGTGGAAAGTGAAGGTGATGTGTTTGGAAACATTTAACACGAGGATTAAAAACGTAAATGTCTGAGTCGACAACGTCAAGTCAAATCCGTGCACGTGAGCAGCACTTGGCCTTGGTCGCCATGGCAACCAGCACGCTTGACAAGGATGCCAGTGGAGTGTCCTTACGTCGAGACGGCAACAAAGGGTGATGTTTGTTTCGTGTTTCACACACAACACAAACACACAGAATGGGGAAGTGCAACAATCAAGGTGTGGTTGATTGTGATGACCAAACAAGAAGTAGTTGATCTTACTTCACTTTTGCTCCTGTTCTAAAATGTTTTTAATATCTATATGAATGCATCTCGCGTCACCTAGCTGAGGAAGCACAAGTAAGTGTGTTGCCGAGTCCAAGGCAAGACCACGGTGACTTTTCACTTGTACCTTGTGATCGACGGCGGCGCAGACGAGCTCGGCGATGGCCGACAGCGTCAAGTAGTTGATGTCCAGGGTCAAAGGCTCCCGGGTCAGTCCCATCTGGAGCAGGAAGGAGATGCCGTGGGCGGAGACGCTCGGTCGGCCGCCGGGCGGGACGGGTGACGGCGAGGGAGCCCGGGAAGAAGGTGACGGCGAGCTGGTTTCGGACGACATGGACGGCGACGAGTGGCGTCCCGCTTGCCCTCTTTGGCGTCCTCTCACTTCCTATTTCTCAGAGTGCAAGCATCACTTCCTGGCGCGAAGCGACAAGATTTGAATGCTGCTCACAGTTTGCCGACACACAAACACATCAGGTCACCAAGTCAAATGACAGCCTCAATCATCCAAAGTACATTTTCACATTCATTTCACTGAAAATCAATTGTGGGTTCAACTTCAAAATTGATATCTTTGAAAAATAATTTTCTAAGTAATATGGTGACCACGGACAGAGGTGGGGGCGGTGACCTAGTGCCCTCTAGTGAATGGCTACCTCTGGTCCAAAGTAGAATTAGTTTTTTAAATGTGTGGTTGGTGAGGTTCAATCCCTTCAGAGCTATGGTGAAATCCCGATTAACGAAAAGACAACGGAAAGCCAATCATGATAAAACAAACAGCCCGTAGGACTTTTCTCTAATCTCCTCATTAAATTTAATGCGCAAAAATGCATCACTTGTTGCAAAAGTAATTAAAAAAAAATACTGACTAGAACAAATCAAAGATTAACATATTTTAACGGAACAGTTAAAATGTGAACAGGTGGAAACATCAACCCTGCTAAGAAACACAATTTCCCCTCTTGTTACGTTGTGAAGTGATCTGAATCAGAACTAGCAATACGGTTATCATAATTTATCATTAATAATTTGCTATGATTTTTAGATTGGCAGGACTTAGTGATAATACTAATTAGGAGTAAAAGTATGAATTGTAGATAATGGTTAGAAAGGACCGAGCATTCCTTTCAGAATTAATTATCCCTATTTAATGTAGACCAACAATTTAAAATGAGATTTTGTCTTAGCGCACACACAAATATTCGAAATTGAGCACATTGCAATGAAAGTCTGACAAAAGCCAACATTTCATATAAGAAAAATCGAATTAGCAAAAACTGAAGCACAGGTGAGTAAAATCATCATCAAGACGATGACAAACGGATAAAAAGATGATTTTCCAAACGGGCTGCTTTCCATTCTTGGATAAATTCTAATGTGAGCGGAAATGCTTAGACGTGCTTCAAAATTGATAAAAAGTCGAGGGCCTCCTGACAGCCCCCAAAACACTCCCGAGGGGCCTTAAACGCCTCACATGACATCATCGCTCGTTGCGGGCCCCAAAAGTACACATTCGCAATTTATGTCGTTTCGCAGTTCAAACGAGCAAAAGGAGAAATTAATGGCTCATCGAAATAAAAAAGACACAAATACCCACAAGAACGACAAAAAGAATGAGAAGATTCCTTAACTTGTCCCACAGCAAAGTGGCTGAACGTCATTTTGGGCGCCTGATTGTCTCCACAAGTGTCTTCGGTTGTGCCCGAGAACCCAAACCCTTTCCACTTTGCTCGCTGCGCGTGCCAGCCGGTGTGTGCGCGCGCCTGACCAAGGCAAACCGGCAGAAATGTGTCGTCCCACTCGGATGCACTTTCCGAGGATCAAATCATTACGTCATAGATTTATTTTTTTTTTTTCAGCAGACCGTGTGTACATTTATTTATGTTTAATAACTTGAAGACTTTTATGACACTTCTCGATCACAACACATCGTTGATCAAATGTTCCAGATAACAGAAACGAGTGAATATTCTTTTTCAAATGAAACAATCTTTCGACCAGTTAGCGGCGTTCAACTTTTAGGAAATGATGAAATGGCGCCACCAAGTGGACATTCGTGGAAACGGCAAAAGGGGAAGTTTTTACTTTTGCTACTAAATTTTCTTCTTCACCTTTGAAGACTCCAACACAAACAACTTACATCGAATGAGCGAGAAAATAAAACTAACAACTCCATAAAAGCTGTTTTTTGTTTTTTTTTGTTTGTTTTTTTTTTAGCATAGAACGCCATTCACTGCAGGGAGCTAAATGCTCAAAGCGTGCCTGACTTCTGCAAGGCGTCATAAATGAAACTCATTGAATCATAAATATTAAAACAAGTCAGAAATACACTTTGTTTTACCTTGATGGCAATTTCAACCAGGCTAAGTATCTTTAAACCGTTGAAATTATGCATTTGTCAATCTTCGTTTTCCGTGTCCAAATCTATTAATGCCGTGGCAATAAGTCGTCAAATCGGCCATTGTCCTTGTCGGCACGCCTTCAAAATAAAAGAAGATTCTGCTGAAAGGGAAATTAAAAAATACAACGTCCTTTACATGAATATTTTGTTATTTCTGTCAATGTAATATAGTGTGAATACCAAGTTACTCTGATCAGAAGCCATAAGACATCATTTTCCCCTTTGAACATTGGAAATCATTTTCAAATTTTTTTTTATACGATGTACCCTTTGTGTTATTTACAATGAACGTGCATCAAAATAAAGAGAATCTTTACATGTTGAGTTGGCTTTATTTATAATACCTTCCACATGTTGAAGAAGTCGCAAAGCAGAAATGTACAAAGATGCTGCCGTGACATCAATGTTAAACACGATCAAAAATAAATGATTAATGCACCAGTGTATTGTGAGTTATTGCACGTTTTCAAAAACATGAAAAAGTTCAGACGACGAACACGTAAACAGTTGGCCAAGTGGTGCAACCGTTAACTTGGGGGCTGGGGGGGTCAATATCGCAATTCAAAAGGCACTTGAGCGATTAAAATGACTTGAAGGCTGCAGGCTGTGAGTCCCACGAGCGCTTTGCAAACCACTTAGCTGTTTGAGTTGTCAATCAAAACCTGTCAGTTTGTCAGTGGCTGAGCAGCCTGAGGCGAGCCAGCCAGCCTCCGAGCAGTGATGTCGACTGTTTGCTGGAGGGCGAAGAAGCGACGGCGGTGCTGGTGCTGGCCTTCGCGGAGGCCTCCTTCTTCGGCGCCACTTCCTGGTAAGGGATGGTGGTGCTGTTGTGCAGGTCAGTGCTGATAAAGCAGCGGCTGCCCCGGATGTGGTCCACGCCACGGACGGACGGGTGCCGGCGGTACGGCACCGGGAAGCAATGTTCTTCCTCCTTTTTATGCTCCGCCTCCTCTGTGATGCTGCCGATGCCTTCGTTGCTCAGGTAGCGCTGAAGACGACTGCCTCCTGTACCACCAAGTCAAAGCTCAGAATTCGTTTTTAAAAATCCGTGTTTTGATTTGAGTCAGGCGGCACGGCGGCCGACTAGATAACAAATCTGCTTTACAGATCAGAAGTTGTGGGTTCAAATCCGAATTTGTTTCATATAGAGTCTTGTCTGACCTCACACAACTTTATCTTGATCTACCTTTCCATCCTGGAGCGCCGCGCTGGCAAGACACGCCTGAGAGGACGTCAGCAGGCATGGACACGGGTCGAGGTTTACCTGCACCCGCATTGACAACAAACATTAGTCAGTCATCTTGTTGTCAACCTAGATAGGTCTCAAAAAGTCCAATAAAGCTCCCCATCTCGTGATTAAGGAATCGGAGAGTTGGACAGTGCAGTACATTTCTTAAGTACTGATCAGTTGTAGTGAACTTTTTTTAGTACAGTAAAACTGTATTTCATATTTGACTGTTTGTTCAAGTTAAATACCGTATTGGCCCGAATACAAGACGGCCCTGATTATAAGACGACCCCTTCTTTTTCAAGACTCAAGTTTGAAAAAAGACTTTTTGAACACCAAATTAATTTTTATACAGAAAATAATTACAGTCCATCTGAAACAAATGATTCTAACAATATATTTGAGAGAAAAAGCATGTTATTTTGCCTCATTCAAATCTTAATATCTGAACATTTAAATATGTAAACTAAAGTGCAATCACATTCGTAAATGAATGGCTTCTGGTTTTTGAAATGTAAATTACATCATAACTTCTCCTCAGCTGCCGGTTAACCTGGCCGATCTTCGACCCACTTTTCTCCAGATTGTCGCTACGCTTCTCCATTTTCTATTATCTCTTCTATTATTTTCTTCTCTTTTCTTTCTTACCGCTATTTTTTATTTTTCTTCTTCGTGACAGGGGTTCGCTTTGGCCTGGGGAGTCAAGTTCAGCATTCGCTTCAATGATCTCTGGCGCCATCTAGCGTCATGAATGGGTATAATGTCTAGACCCCAAATATAAGACGACTCCCACTTTTTCAGTCTTATTTCAATGCAAAAAATACCGTCTTATATTCGGGCCAATACGGTATTTCTCGTGCGTGCTCTTACCGCGTGCACTGTGGCGCTGTCGGAGTCGGACCGGGACCGGCACCGGAACCGGCAGCGGGACCAAGCTGGGCAGCTGATCTTGAAGAGCGTTGTTGATGGCGGTTCTGGTGGCGCCGCACACGTCAACATCCAGGCATGAGGTAGGAGACCACGGCCGTGCCTTGGCGCTTGGAATGACCTCACTGAGTGACCCAGATGAAGAAATGCATTGTGGGTGAAGGTCAGCAGAGGAGGAAGCTGCAAGCTGAAAGTGTTCCACTGACACGGGCGAGTACGAGGCACCGGGTGGAGGGGGGATGTACAGATCCAAGATGGGCGTCTTGCCGCCAGCGGTGGTGGTCTCCGAAGGATGATGCCACCTGGGGAGGCCCGATGATGTCTGCAATGTTGCCGTGGAAACAGGTCAGTAAGCAGTAGTATGTGTGCAAACACTGTGACATCACACTATGACATCACATCAGGGCTCACCTGAACAAGGGGGGGCCTCCAGCGCATGTTTTTGAGCGGCGCGGGAGAAAAAGCACCGGTGGTTCCCGACGGCCTCTTCTTCACCACCAGAAGCACGTTGCCAGACTCCGCCCTCAACTTGGCCACCAGGTGCTTGAGCTGCCAGCCCACCTGGACCAATCACAGAGCAGAGAGGCGGTGAGGGGGGCGCGGCCCTTCCGGTGCGGGACGCCTGCGTGTCGGCTTCACTCACCACTGTCTGCTCGTTGACTCGGATCACCTCGTCGCCGGCGTGGATCCTCTTGGTCTTGTCTGCTGGGGACTAAAGTTGCAAATAGACATCCATGGGATGATAATAAAAACAATGATTTTCTTTTTGAACAAGGAAAAAAGTAGTGGGAAGTGTCTCGTTGTTTGTTGTTTCAAAAAATTTGAATTTTAGTCCATACAGGATGCATTAAAAAACGGTCATGACAAAAAAAGAAGAAAAAAGGTCCTGACAAGAGTTCGACTCACGTTCTCAGTGGTTCCGGTGACGATGTGGAGGCCGTCGTAGGTGGACTTGATGTAG